AAATCAGCTACCGCTTGACCTTTGATTGCCGTTCTGGGTTCGTATGTAATATCAAATGAGCTCAACTCAATAGCCCATTTTGTCATTCTTCCTGATAAGTCCGGCTTGTGCAAGATCATCCTTAAAGGAAAGGTTGTTAAGACGACAATCGGATGGGATTCGAAATAATGTCTGAGCTTCCTTTTTGCGTTGACCAACGACAAGATCATCCGTTTGGCTTTTGAGTACCTTCTTTCTGGCTCGGCCATTGTATTGCTTTCCGTCTTTGCAACGGATCAGAACGGCACTAGTCGCGACGCTGGATACTCCAAGATACAGAAAGAGCTTCTCATTTGGCTCGGGAGCAGATAGAACTGGAGGATTGCGCATGTATTCTTTCAGGCTGGTTAGTGCCTGTCGTTGTTCATCCCCCCAGGCTTGCCTTCCATGGCCTCGAATTGTATCAAAGAATGGTTTACAACGGTCCGAGAGTTTAGAGATGAATCGGCTCAGCGCAACTATTCGACATGTGAGTGCCTGCACCTCCTTAGTTGTCTTTGGTTCTGCATTTCTGATCAGAGCTTCTGCCTGCGCTAGGCTGGCCTTAATTCCTCTATGATTGACTACATATCCCAAAAATTGACCAGAACTCACGGCGAATGAACATTTGGCTGGATTAAGCTTCATCCCGTATTGCCTCAACACATCGAACACATCCTGTAGGTGCACTAAGTGATCATTTTTCTTCTTACTCTTGACCACCATATCATCAATGTAGGCCTCGACAGTTCTCCCACTTTGGCTTTTGAAAATCTTGCTGATCAGCCTCTGATAAGTAGCTCCAGCGTTTTTTAATCCGAACGGCATGATGTTGTAGCAGTAAGTCCCTCGTTCAGTAACAAAAGAAGTTTTCTCTTCATCGATTGGGTTCATGGGGATTTGATTATAACCGGAATAAGCATCCAGGAAGGTTAATCGCTCGTATCCTGTGGTGGCGTCGACCATTTAATCAATCCTTGGCAATGGGAAGCTATCCTTGGGCAAGCTTTGTTCAGATTAGTGAAGTCAATACATACTCTCCATTTCCTATTCTTTTTTTGCACCACAACGACATTGGAGAGCCAGGCCGGGTACTAAACTTCTCTAATGAATCCTGCCTCGAGCAACCAATCAATCTCCTCAGCTATGATCCGATTTCGTTCTGGTGCAAATCTTCTCTGCTTTTGCTTCACAGGTTTTGCGTTCGGATCTACATTGAGGGAATGGCAGGACACAGAAGGACGAATCCCTAGCATATCTGAATGGCTCCATGCGAATACAACTGCATTCCGAGTCAAGAAGTCAATCAACCCTAGTTTTTCCTCTTCAGTAAGTTTGGATCCCACCCTCGTTGTTCGGTCCGGTTTCTCATGGTCGATCTTCACATCAAGAAGAGGTTCTGTGGTTAGAACTGGTGGCTCCTCCTCCCCACCTTTGCTGGGTGGAGGTTCCTGTAATTGCTATCTTGGACTGGCAGAACGGATGGGATTTTTCCCTTTTCCAACAGATTTCAAAGTCATTGAATAACATTCTTTAGCTGCAACCTGGTCCCCATGAATGTCAATCACCTTAGTCCCATCTGGACCCAAGCATCACATTACTTGATGTAGGGTTGATGGGACACCCTGAACTCTGTGAATCCACCCTCTTCTCATCAAGAGGTTGTAGGATGGATGAATTTCCACGACCACAAAACTCTCAATTAAAACTCTCTTAGCAGCTTGTACTGTCAATTCCACCATGCCAATGGGCTCCACCCGCTTCCCATCAAATCCGAGCAATGGATTTCCTGTGGGTTTAAGTTTCTCGGGTTCGATCTCAAGTCGGTCGAACGTCACTCTGGGCATGACATTTGCACTACTTCCTGGATCAATCAGAACTCTTTGAACCAGGCATTCTGCAACTGTTAAACTGACGACTAGTGGATCTTCATGAGGAATCTGAACGCGTAGCAGGTCTGTTCTGTCAAACTTATCGGCATGGATGCGTTCTGTTGGTGTAAAGCATGTACACTGCCAATCCTTCTCTTCAACTGGGCTTGGCGTAACCGCGTTCTGAGCAACTCCTCTGACTCCGTCGTTTGTTCAGGTCGGCCATGAATTGCATTTATAATCCGAACGGGCTGAGTGCTGTGATGGTTCGACCTCTGGTTTCGCTTGATCTGTTTAGCCGGTCGGTTCTGCTCTTGCGCCGGACCTTGAACATAGCCTGCAAATTCCCCCTTTGCGATTAGTATCTCCACTTGCCTCCTTAGGTTCCTGCATTTGTTAGTCTGATGCCCAAAATCACTATAGAAAGCACAATGTTTAGTTTGATCCCTCTGTTCGAGGGGTTGTCTGATTGGCAAAGGAGGGCGAAACTTATCTTTGTTTTCTTGGTACAGCCTTGCCAAGGTGACTCTGAGTGGAGTAACCAATTCCTCTTCCCTGGGTCTTTTCTCTGCCTTCCACGAGGTATGACGTTGCGGCTGAGCTTGTTTTTGCCGGATCTTGGCTTTGGACTTCTCTTCTGTCGAAATAATTGACATCTTCCTTGAATTAGCTGCCTCTTCTTCCTCAAGACGAACAAAACCGTCAGCTCTCTCGTTCAGCTCGTCCATGGTCTTCGGCGTATTGACCACCAAGCTTGTGTGGAACGGTGTCCCCCGGTTCATTACGAGTTTAAACGCTTGGACCGCTGTGGATGGATGACATTCCATTACTATGCTTTTAACCAGGTTGAACCAGGTGAGGAAAGCTTGGAGTCGTTCATTTTCGTGCTGCCTCATTGTGAAAAGGCTTGATATATCCTTAGCCGGACGTTTATTCCCATAGTACTGGCTTATGAACTTATCACACAAGTCCTAGAAACTAGCGATTGAGCCCTGAGCCAGATTCTTGAACCAATTGAGGGCTGGTCCAGCCAAGCTTGTAGGGAAGCATTTGCACATCAAAGGATCATTGTTAGTATTCAGAACCATTTTCAACTGAATGTGGTAGATGTGGTCGACCGGGTCGGTTGTTCCATCAAACAGAATGAAGATTGGCATGGAAAACTTCTTCGGATTCGGCACGTTCAGAATTTCATCAGTGAACGGAGATGCAACCGTCCTTGCTGATGAGCGCAATGCTTCGTTCTCCCTTGAAAACCGTGACGGAACTCCCCGATCGGCAGATCTCCTTTCTGAACTGCGGTAGTCAAATGTTGCCATTGAAGGTCGATAAGGTGGATCAAACGATCTGTCCTCTGCAAACTCACTTCGCCATGGTGATGCAACCCTATGATCACACGCCGGCGCTTCCTCTCTCATGATCCGTTCGCGATGTGGCTCCATAGATCCTTCTCGATCCTCTACTTGACGGACATTCGGAGTCAAATCGTCTATTATAACTTCATCACGACGTGGATCGACACGATTAACACCTTCTGGATCACCTTGATGAACAGCATGGGACGGTAAGACTCCCTCTCCTTCAGGAGGTGGCCTCGGAATTGTAGGAGCCTCACGACGCTCCATTCCAGCACGTAACTCTGCATTTTCTTTCCTCAAGACGTCGATCATGTTCATCAGCTCATTGAGCTTCGTCTGCTGGCTATTTTCCAAAGGATTTGAGCTCTCCCCTCCGATCATCATTCCAGATCGGAGCAAAGTCATCAACCGCGGATTGCTTGATCAGATCGGAGCTTCGCTAACGCATACGCACCAGATCTGGACTCACACTTGCTGAATTCTGTTCGCTGCTGGCCGGATTCAGTAATCTCAACAAATCACAACTGTGCAGCTCGCCGGATCAAGCACAGATCAGATCTGTATGGATCAGACGCCAACCTCTCGAAATCAACTGGAACCAAGACTCATCAAGACAGATCGCCCATTTTCATCAATTTTGATTCAGCTTTCAGAGATTAATCATCTTCTTCACAGAGTGCTTTGAATCGAATCGATCTGGATCAACATCAATCAATCCTCTCTGTTCTTCCCACAGACGGCGCCAATTGAAAGTACAAAGAATTTTTCCCTAATTGTAGAGAGAGAAACTTTACACTCCCAATGATTTTTCAACCACTTTTCCCTCTCAATCCCCTTTATTTATAGACGGTTATAACCACCACTGAGCTGGACCTATCTTGTTCTCTTTTGGCTGGACTCAACTTCTTTTATCATAACATGGGCTTTCGCAGTGACTTCTTGGATCTAGGCCCATTCAGCTCGGACTTGCTCCATCCTGGCTATCCATACCCGACCCATTCTTAGCAATACGACCCATACCAAGCCCGGATCATTTTTGGTGCTTCAACTACGGTTTCTGTCAACTTTTCAATTTTTGAATACTGCTTTTCTCTGGTATACCGGCCATATGCCAACACTTCAATAACTACAGCACAATGTGGTTACAATTGCACACACAGCCAACAATTATGAGATACTTCATTCTCCATCATTTATGATCTGGTAAGGCTGTGTATCCTAAATGAAATCATCGAATGCATATTTGATACTGGATGTTATATGTTTGCAATATTAGTACCCTTTTTGTAATATTTGCATCATATGACAAGAATGAACCAAATAAGCCAAAAGTGGCACCCAGAAAAAATTAAAGGAAATCACAATCTACTGTCAGACACTTTCCTACAATTTAATAGATTACGGAATTTATATGAAATTATCCTCCACATAGAAACAATATTGGAAACATTGTGGACACACGTTGAACACTTTTTAGATCATTCTTTCATTGATGACAAATGCAGACCTAGTCAAGGAAAGAAAATACAAAATCTCATCTAAAGGGTAAAGCATGCTAAAGCTTATACAATGAAGAACAGAACTACCCTTGGCAATATAGTATCTTCAGCAGTCTCTCAATCAGAATATGATAAGGACTAGAATCAGAATTGCAAATGGCAATAACAAAAAGCCATGAAATTTCCATCAATATAAATAGAAAGTTCCATGAGATAAGAAATTAAAAGCCATGTAGTTTAAATTAGATACTCACGTCCAATTATATTAATATCCCCACTTTTGACAACGCCCAAACAGTAAACAGATGCACTCTGGGATGAACTCTGGAAAGAAAGAAAAGGAAAAGTCCAACACATTTCAGTACATCCAAGAGGCAGAAGTAGGCTTAATTTCACAAAATATAAAATTTTACCTGAAGATGTATAGGGACTATTGGTTCAGTAACATAAAATTGGTTTCCCCCTTCCATTGTTAGATTCACCATGGGAGTCTCAAAGGTAGTCTGATTTGTGCTGCATTTGAGAGAGAGAGTCAGTCTTGAGGGTTCAAAGGAGATAATATTGCATATTCCGGCTAGCTTAGCTGGTAATATCTCTTGGTAGTCTTAAGCATAGAACAGGGATCAAATATCTGTGTTGCTCCCCCACCCAGGAAAAAAAAAAAAAAAAAAAACTGTCCACCCAAAAGTAAAATAAAGTTAAAATAGAGGATACAATCATGCAAATGAAGTTATCCAAAATAAATTGACCTTAATTCATAACAGTATTCGAAAGGTATCCTGGAATCTGATGAAAGACGTTTCTGTTGGGCCTGGGAATTGAACTACAGAGTAACAAAAAATAATTATGAATTCAACAATTGACATCAAAATAATGGCACAATATTCATTATGTAAACCACTTACACTCTCTGAAATAGCTGTATAAGCTGGGTCGTTTAAGTAAGTAAATGAGGTACCAGAGTCGAAGATTGCACTGAAATTGAGATTAATGACACTTTCCCCCACAAGTATTTGTGTCATGCTAATATTGTAAGTTGGACTGGGGAAAATTTTGAAGGAAAATATTAAATCAGCACAATTACCATGTCATTCCGGTCAAAGAGACAGTCAATATGCCAAATTCAATGAAATGGCCATCAGCATTTTGCAAAAAAGGAATAACCACTCACTGTAATTGATTTAGATTAAGTGGCGTTTTCCCTTGGTCTGAGCTGCCTCTATCTCCAAAACTGATTCTGCCATCAGGTCCTCCGAAACACATGGAAAATGAATTTGCAGCAAGCCCTTTACTTGCTAAAATACTAGGAACTGATATATTATCCATACCGAGCCCAAACAGACCATTGAAAGCCGCACCATCCAAAAATGAACCAGTTTGAATCATACCACAGCTGCAACCAGTCCCAAATAAGAACATATGTGCTTGTAGACATAAAAATTTGCTAGATGCTTTGGGGTGTTTGCATGTATCCAAAGGGAATAGTTCCGCTCCCAACGGGAGTGGGGACACCCTCAGTTTAAAAAAAAAAAAAACAATAATAATAAAAATAGCCAACCAACCATGATAAGACAAGAAAACCTAAGAATAGTAGGTGAAAGACAAGTTTGAAGGTGCTAGTTATATTAAGTTTCATGGCAATAGAAATGTTGACAATCTTGACAGAGGAGGTGGAAAACATATCCACAAATCTCAGCAAAGGCTTTCAATGAAATCTTAAAAGTTGATTGACGGCAACGTTATATGAGAGAGTACTCACCCAAATGTAATTTGTGCATCAACAACTTTCAATTGATTGTCGTCTGTAGTCAAGTGCAACACATCCTTTACCAATGTCCCAGTAGATGAAGTATTACTAGAAAGATATTGAATTTGATAAGGACAAATGTTACGTGTCGCAGAACATTGCCTTTGCTGATGACACAAGGTACTGTTGCAGGGAACTTGTATGCTTGTTGATGATGTATTAGGACTGTAGATGTTAAAGTCTATTTCCTGTTTACAAAGAAACATTGATTGGAAAGGTAGCATTATAAAATGGATAAACAAATCAATACCCTGAACAAATTTCTTTGTTAATTAGTATAAGTAATTCAAAATTTTAACACAGAGAAAATATATTAGCTACCATGGGCAGGATCCAAATCTTTAACAATATAAACACCAGTACCACTCTGTGCTTAAGGTGCATTTATCAATCCAAAATTACCAAATAAATACAATAATCACCCTATTATCCTCATGAAACATTAACAACTGATCGACCATTCGAAGCAGATAAGTTACAAGGGTAGTTGCAATTTAGTTGGAAAATAAATTTTAATAGACCGGACAAACCTTTCGATCAACTAAAATTAAGTTTCTTAAAGAAGAATCCACGCTTCTATAATTTTATTACAAACAAATATTGGTTAAAGGATGGAGATTGCATAATAACAATACATATAGCTAACTGCATAAGACTTCAGGGGCATGATATTGTTTGAGCGAAAAAAAAGAAAATAAACAAACAAACAATAAGTAAGAGTTTCACACTGAGTATAAGCTTGGGTATATTTTAAAGGTAAATGTTATATATATTCTCAGAAACCTACTCAGACTAAAAACTTTTTAACAACTTGCCCATCCTTCTTGAAATGTAAAAAATTGATTAAATCAGTTAAACAATTTTAATTTATAAGTATCAACCAGATTTAAGCAACTCTCTCTCTAAAGAAGAGGGTTGTCTCAGTAGGTAGCCGCACAAAATAATTGGACCCAATTACTGATGTAAATACATGTTCAATGATGTTAATGCCTTCTGAATCAAGAGGTACATCTTTCCATTTGTTATTCATCCCCTGTAATTTCCCCTAACATCAAAGTAGCTTCACCATGCTTCCAGTTTGATAATACATGACAGTATAGCCATAGAAATAATGCAACTCGCACAATAGATTGTAAAAAAATTTCTTCACAAAATCAATAAGCTGTAATTGACCTGAAAATGTAAACCACACGATTCCCCAGGAAACTCAACTGAACGGTCCCATCCATAAGATGAAATGAAGCAGCCACACAAAATACTGGAGTAAAATAATTAGATCATACTTTCTGAGCATAACAACAGAATATCAAGGTCTAGCCATGTGAAGTCTAAGTTCAAAACAATCCAACTCCCCCTCCCCCCCCCCCCCAAAACAATATATATATATATATATATATATATATATATGTTTTTTTTTTTAAATGAATAATTAGAATAATGCACTGAAAGTGGTACCATCTCAACAAAAATTAAATAAAAAAAATGACTTGCATTCGACAGATGAAGCAATAATCAAGTTCAAAATGACACGACTTACTTGTCCAGATCCTGTCTCTAAGCCATGAACACAACTCCTACAATCACACGGTAACCAAAGCAGGTTGCTGCCGGTGTCAAGTGCCACGAGAAACCATAAACTCGGCGTGCCCACAGAAATGTTGGCATAATACAAACTGAAAAATCACCCCAAATATATGGAAACTGTCGTTGCTAATGAAAACTACAAGAAGGAACTCTAAACACAAAAATTTAAATTACTAATGAAAACCACAAGAAGGAACTCTAAACACAAAAATTTAAATTACTATTATCTAACTATCATCTTTTAACACTAAACATCATGAGTTTTACATGAAGTATATATTTGAATTATGTTGCTAATTGAAGTATATTTTTCATGTTCTACAAATTAAATATAAATAAAAAATCAGATCAAAAGATTCATTAGTTTTATTTAGGTGCTTATCTTCTTGAAAACTACCCTTCACAGATTTTCAACCAGAATGATGCTTCATTTTTATTTATTCCAAACTGCCATTGCCACATCGAAGTAGCTCCCTTTAGTAGCTCCAGAAAGAGATTATCATATATAATACTATTTTTATCTTAATCTTTCATTCTTTACATTATTCTTTCCAACCAAGAAGCTGAGTGATTGTGCCAAAAGAAAAAGACAAAAAAAAACTATCTCCAAATTATATATATATATAAAAAGGCAAAATTGAAGTATAATTGAAGAAGTTGTGAAGTTCTAGAAAACATACTATCCCAACGATTTGAACGTATCATTGCCGTCAACGAAAGTGAGCGGCGTCGAATCAACGATGTCAGCAAGCCCGCGTCCCCGAATGAGCCGATCACGGCGGGCCATAGCGGTATAGTACTCGAGACTACCCTTTTCAGGCAAGTCAAAAAGGTCCAAAATTCCCCTGACCTGATCGGAGTACCTGTGGTGTATATCGAACCCAAACGTACCAAAACCATTGCAGAGCTGCGAAGCCCAAACCAATGTCAGAAAAATGAAGTATCCAAAAAGTGAAGAAGCATAATTATATGAACAAGGCATTGGAACTGTATAGAAAAGTTTCAGAGAATTAAGCAGAATTAATGAAAGAGAAGAGCAAGAGAGAGAAAGAGTGAAAAAATGATTAGGGATGGGGTTTTGGAGAAAAATAATGGAATTTTGTGAGGCGTTGGATCAAACCTGTTAGTTGGAGGTAGACGATGGTCTTCTTCAATGGAGAGTGAAAAAGTTCGGCTGTCTGTTCCATGCCAGGCAAGAGTGAGGGAGGGCCCACTTTTTGTGTAAACACAGTGCTGCTAGTCTATACTCTATAATAACCGTGTGTGAAATATATATATATATATATAGAATAACCATGTAAATTATGCGATTTTTTTTTTTTTTTACACATAAATGATGTGATTAACTACTACTATTAATTGAGGGTACTTTCCTTTTCAACATTTACACTCTAAAATAAAATTGACTCTTCTAATCTTAAATTCAAAAAGAATTTTTTTTTTAATCTTAATTTTTACAGCAACCCTTCTAAATAAGATTGGGCATGTTCTTCTAACCTTAATTCCGCAAGTAAATTATTATTTATTTATTTATTTTATACTATAATTATTATATAAATATCTTCTTAAATTTGTTTGAACTCACCACCCTCTTTCCAATCTTTTTATTGTTTTTGATCTTTTTGACATAATCAAAGAACAAAATAATACTTCAAAAAAATATATATATAGCCCACCCCTTTAAAAAAATAAAAAAAATAAAAAGTCACACAAAAGTGATGCTAACCACATAGCCTCCTTGTTTTAAAATTTTAATCATTAATATAACTTGAATGTTCCTAATGGGTTGTTTGGGATAAACTAATTTTTTTTTTTTGTTGACAAAGTTTTCTACCAAAAAAACCCCACACTATAATTATGTAAAACTGTTTAACGAAGGAGGAAACTTCCTCCTTATTTTCCTAAAAGGTTTGGCTAATCACGGGATTAGTGTATGTGCGTGTGAAAGCAACTAGCCACTTGTGAAAGTTGATAACAGAGTACACGATGAGAAAAGCAACCAAACAGCTAATTAGGTCTTCTATTGACCCAAACAGGTCGTACTAGACTACACTTTCTGGACAGAAAAGTTTTACTGTAGATACATTTGATTTAGTACTGTAAGAAAAAGAAAATAAATATTTAAGACATCATTTGGTTAAAAGTTTTCTGAAGATTGTTGTACAAAATTCTCATTTCAAGTAACAATTTTTTCTTATTGGCTTATTTATTTTTTAGAGAATTTAAAAACAATTTGAAAATTGTTTAATGTGATGGAAACTGTTTTATGAGAATTTAGAACCAAATAGAGTGTCCTTTCACTTTCTCAAATTTAAATGTTCATTAAACCCTAGAAAGACGACTGTATTCAAGCAGATACATTCACTCAAACCAGCCAACTGATCCAGAAGTCAATTTATTTCAAAGGAGCTCCAAAAATATATACTTATGAAACTAAGCAACTAACTGCAGCATCCAAAAGGCATACAAGTGGTCTCTCCATTATTATACATAGGTATGCTGATAAATAAAACCACTATTTCAATCCAATGTTTGATTTAATGCTAAAAATACTATGTATTAAAAATTAAAAAAAAAAAAAAAAAAAAAAAAAAAAAAGGGAAGCTACAAGTGCCTCCGATTTGATGTTGATTATACAGCAAAACTAAAAGAAAATACAGGATTAAAAAGGCGCCGCGAGAGAAGAGTGGATGAGAAGGGAAAGGAATGTGAAGAGTGTAACAGCAAATGAAGTGAAGTGGGATGAATTGCTTGGTGAAACATGTGACATACTGGAAGCACTGGGCGCAGGGGAACCGTTTACAGAACCCGATGTCACTCCTGGTGCCATGGTAGGAGGAACTGCGGTGGGTACACTACTCTCTCTAGCATCGTAACCTGGGAGAAGAGTTCACATGAACACTTTTAAGAGCTTTACAAACACACACACACACACGTACACACGTATAGAGAGATGTTGCTTCAAAATCTAATCAAGGATGACAAAAATGCACTCACATTCAGATGCCTTCCAGCCCAAAACCATCTTCTCACGATCAAAAACTACACGGTAGCCAGTCATGAAGTTCACTGCATAAAGATTAACAGCCTAATATTGTCAGGAACTATTTCATAAAATATGGTCTATATACATTATGGCTGTCAACAATATACAAGGGGGCATTCGGAAATTGAAAGACATTATGGAAAGACTAGAAATGTGAAAAAAGAGAGGAAACATGATTAATCTTTGTCACATAAGTCGAGGGTGAGGGTCCATAAGTTGTGGACTCTCACCATTATAAGAAAATGCCTCTTTCCAATTTAACAACGAAAACAACACTTTCTAAAAAAAAGTTAAAGTGGACTTGGTTTAAAGCTATTACCTATTTATAAAGGATGTTGAGAGGGGCAGACCGAATACAAATCTAAAATTGGGTATTATCTGTACAAAGTGATTGTTCTAAGATTAAAAATCCACATTCTCATGCCTGATAGTCTGAATCCCCTGAAGTTAAAAATAATTGCATCACGTAAAGAATATATATATATATATATATATATATATATATAGTGTCGAATATGGACTCTTAGAACACACTATAATCCATCACTAAACACGTACGGTCCATTTTAACCGAATCTGATCTCGTTTTACATGTCCTCACCATGCACCGGATAATTACCAAAAAAAATCTCTAGAGGTGACCACAAGGGGATTCAAACTCTCAACCTCCAAGATGTGAAGTGAGAGTCTTGCCATTAGGCTTATCCCCTTGGAGTTCATCTAAAAAAAACGTTGAAAGAAAATGATGCAATCATAATTGACATTTAAGGCAGAGTAGATCAGGGAACCGGTAAGAAAACTAACATTTCCCTACATTTTAATAGATTATACAACCCTTCCTTCAGATAGAGAGAATCTTGAAAATTTTGCACCCATTTTCATCACCTCTATTTCACTCATAATAAATGTGGCTCCTCTTGATAAAAAACATAAACTCTCATGAAATATTGAAGCATTTGCATGTTAAAGTTTACAACTATGGATAGGAATGAAGAAAACAACCACCCTTTCTAAGATAAAATCTTCAGCAATCTCTTAATAAGAATATGAATAAGTCTAGAAACGAAGTTGCAAATTTCAAAAACACATTTTAAGTTCCATCAAATAAGCAAGGTAAAGCAAACTTCCGAAAAAAATAACAGAAGCAAGGTAAAGCAATGTGATTTTAGAATGGATACTCACGTCCAATGATATTCACATCCCAACTTTTGACAACACCCAAACAATACAAATATTCACTCTGGAAAAAGAAAAAGAAAGAAAGACATTTCAGTATATCCCAGAAGCAGACAAAGGATTTAAATCACAAAATACTAAACTTCACCTCGAGAGAAACTAGGACTATCGGATCAGTAACAAAAAATTGGTTTCCCCCTTTCATTGTTAGATTCACATTGGGAATATCGGTGGTTTGATTTTCACTGCATGTAGAGAGAGTCAGTACTTAATGGTCAAAATGAAAAAACTGATTTTCCAGCTAAGCCTAACTAATTATATATCTTGATGGTCTTAGCAGAGACTTGGGGATCAAATCTCATCTTCATTTGGGTTGAGGAGGAAGTATTTATGGGTACGGGCAAGTTACAGCACTGTGTAGCCCATAGCCTTTGGACCCAAAAATAGAATAAATGTAAAAGAGGACAGAATCATGTAAAAGAGGACAGAATCATGCAAATGAATTCAATCTCAAAAGTAAATTGACCTTAATTCATAACAATATTCAAAGGGGATATTGGAATCAGATGGATGCCGTTTCTCTTTGACCTGGGAATTGAACTGCAAAGTAGCAAAATATATATTTAACTATGAATTCAACACAATATATAGACAAACATTCATTATGTAAACCACTTACACTCTCAGAAATAGCCGTATAAGCAGGGTCGTTTAATTGTGTAAATGTGGCACCAGAGTCGAAGATTGCATCAAAATTAAGGTCAGTGACATTTTTGTCCACTGCTATTTGCGTCATGCTAATATTGTAAATTGGACTGGTGAAGAATTTGAAGGAAACATAAAAAAAACAAAGACAAATAGCATGTTATTTCGGTCAAAGAACTTCAGTATGCTAAACTCAATTGAATTGCTAATAGCATTATGCAATTAAGGAATGACAGCTCACTTTGATTGATTTAGATTGAATGGTGTTTCTGCTTGGTCAGGGGCACCTTTATCTCCAAAACTGATTCTGCCAATTCCATCAGGTCCAAAGCACATGGAGAAAGAATTTGCAGCAAGCCCTTCACTTGCTAACATACTAGGAACTGATATATTATCCATCCCAAGCCCAAACAGACCATTGGGAGCCAAACCTTTCAAATATGAACCAGTTTGAATCATACCACATCTGCAACCAGTGTTACACAATAAAAACAATGTGATTGTAGACAAAAAAAAAAAAAAAAAAAAAAAAACAAGTTTGAAAGTGCTCGGTAGCTTAACCGGTAAATTCTCTCCTTACTCCTACCCGATTCCTGGAAAATATTCTCACCTTCATCAAAGTTTCAGGGTGGGGGAGGTTGGGGACAATGGGGAGGGTAACCGCAATGCGCAATTATTGCCTTTGAAAGTTGTTTACAAACCCATCAAGAATAAAAAAATAAATTTCAAATCAAACCAAGAGTAATTGACGGCAAAGTATTATGAGAGATTACTCACCCAAACGTGATTCGTGCATCAACAGCTTTCAATTGACTATCATCTGTAGATAAGTGCAAATCATCCTCTACCAAGATCCCAATAGACATAGGACCATCTAAAGGAGATCCAAGCTGATAAGGACAGGTATTATTTGTTGCAGAGCATTGTCTTTGCTGACTACACAAGGTACTGTTGCAGGGTACGTTCATGCTTGTTGATGATGTGTTAGGACTGTAAATATTAAGGTCTATTACCTGTTTTACAAAGTGGTCACATAAGCAATTGTCAAGGTACCACAGTTAAATAGATAATCAAATCCATATCCTGAATTTTCTCTTAGTATAAACATTAGTGGTTCAGAGTTTAATATGGAGAAGGAATTATTGGTTGCCAAGGGCACTGCCAAAACTTGAATCATGTAATTAGCAATACACAAGGTGCTTAAGGCTCATTTACCAATCCAAAGTCAACAACTAAATGCAGATAAGTAAACAAGAGTAGTTACCTTTAACATATTATCATCATGAAACTTTAACAACTAATAGCTGATATTAACAAAAGAAGCTGAAAGAGTAATTGAATTTTTCTAGGAAAAGAATTTACATAGACTGGACTTACCTTTCAATTAGCTAAAACCAAGTTTTAAAATGAAGAGAACCAACTTTTATAATTTCACTAGAAAATAATGTTGGTAGAATTTAATAAAAATATTAAAGATGTAGCCAGACAATGCCGTAAAGCTAATTCCACAGAAATGGTTGAGCAAGAAAAAGAAAAGAGTTTCACATGGATATAACCTTCGGTATATCCAAGCGATAAATGTTAAAATTTATCATAAATCTATCTGATAAACTAAAATTTTTGACACGATCTTACCATCCTTCTTTCTTGAAATGAAAAAGAATTGCTCAAATCAATTAAGTAATATCTGTCTTTTGTCTTTGTAATTTTCGATGTGTACTTTATTTTCAGTATTTGTAAAGTTTTATCATGATGTTAAAGTACAAAGTTTTCCCATAATACATAACAATATATCTATATCTATATCTATATTATTATTAAATGTGCAAAGTGTTTCAGTGTTTCAGTATTTATTTATGAATATAAAAAAATATATATTAATTGCTTCAGTAGTTCAGTATTTATTTATTAATATAAAAAAATATTTATTAATTGATATAAAAATAGTTTTTATAAAAAGAGCCAAATAAAATTTCAGAATTTCTAGGAAGCCAAGGCACCTCAGTTAGATGAGGATGAGAGCTCTAAAGCTGGGACTACCATTCCGTAAGGGGCTCTGATAGAAGAAACACAAATTACCTAATAAAATTTTATAAATTTTATTTTTATTTATTATTAAATGTGTAAAGAGTTTCAGTGTAATATTTATTAATTGCGTTCAGTATTTATATTAAAACTCTAACGCAAATTACCTAATAAAAAACTCTAACGCAAATTATCTAATAAAATTTCAGTTACCTATTTTATTTTCTATATTAATTGCTTCAGTAGTTTAGTATTTATATTAAAACTCTAGCACAAATTACCTAATAAAATTTCAATTACCTATTTTATTTTCTATAAAACTCTATCACATCTAACATATATATATATATATATATATTAGATCAGCCTTGTGGTGTGCATATTTTTTCTTTTCTCTTTATAATAGGTCTCGTAAGTTTTTTCTTCACTTTTTCTTTTTATAACCATTATTATTATGTTATTATTAATTTATTTTTTCTCTTTCTAATTGATGTTTATGTTTAGAAGTAGTTGATTTGTTTTATTTTTATTTTCTCTTTCTAATTGACGTTTAGAAGTGGTTGATTTTTTTTTTTCTTCATTTTTTTATTTTATTATTTTTGGTTCATTTTTAATTTATTATTATTTTGAGTCATTATTTATTTATTTATTTTTATTACTTTGGATGGTTCAAAATTTGTTATTCTTAATTTGTTATATTGAGAAAGTTGGATTGTTAATTTTTTTCTTTACTTTTTCTTTTTAGAAGCATTATTTTTTTTTATTTTTTCCTTATTGATGTTTAGAAGTAGTTGATTTGTTTTATTTTATTTTTCTTTTTCTAATTGATGTTTAGAAGTGGTTGATTTGATAAGTTTACTTTTGGATTGTGATTTTTTTTCTTTTATTTTTTATTTTTGGTTCATTCATAATTTATTACTATTTTGAGTCCTTATTGTTCTTTTTTTTTTTTCCTTTACTTTTTATTTTTCAGAAATATCATTATTATTTTTTCTTCAGTTTTTATTTTTATTTTACTCTTTATAAGTTTACTTTGGATTATAATTTTTTTCTCAGTTTTTATTTTTGGTTCATTCTTAATACAGGTTTCAATGCTGAAAAGTTTTTATATGTTTTTTTTTTTTCAATTTTTATTATTATTTTTTTGATTCATTCTTAATATATTATTTTGAGTAGGTTTCAATGTTTTTCGATTTTTGGTTGGACTTGATTTTAAATTATCTAATTTCACACATATACTCACATCATGCTGTGTCGTAATCTATGTTGTAATATCATAATGATAACTACTTTTTTTTTTTACCATTTCCTTGTAACAAAAACTAAATTTGAGAATTCAAATTTTCAAATCAAATAAGTTCGTAGATTCTTTCATTTTTCTTAATGTCCACTTTCATATTTCCAAAGGTAAAGGTCATGTTACCATTTCTACTCTTGATCAATGCATTGACAGTAGCTAAAAATACAAATTTCTATAATGAAAATAAAATAATTTCTATAAAATTTACCAAAAATTAGCAATTTTATTTTCAATAAAACTCTACCACATTATCAAGTTTTATAATAAAAGAAAATTTAATTAGACAAGGATATAGTTAAAAAAAATAAAATAATTTCTATAAAAACTCTACCAAAAATTACCTATTTTATTTCAATAAAACTCTATCACATAATTCACTTTTGACAATTATATATTTAAATAGTTTCTATAAAACTCTACCACAAATTACCTAGTTATCTATTTATTATTAGTTTTTTAATGAAAGGAAATCTATTTAAACAAAAATTATAAATATAAAAAAATATTTATTAATTGATATAAAAAAAGATTTTAAAATAGTTTTTATAAAACTCTAACACAAATTGCCTATTTATCTATTTATTATTAGTTTTTTAATGAAAGGAAATCAATTTAAACAAAAATTATAAATATAAATAATATATATAATAATTGATATAAAAAGAGATTTTAAAAATGTTTCTAAAAAAATCTAACACAAATTACCTATTTATCAATTTATGAGTTTTTAATAAAAGGAAGTCTAATTAGACAAAAATTATTAATATAAAAAAAATTACCTAAAAATTCATTTCAAATTACATATTAAAATTAAATGAAAAACTACTTAATAAAAAAATATTAATTAATTGATATAAAAGAAGTTTCTAAAAGAGTTTCAATAAAACTCTAACACAAACTACCAATTTATCTATTTATTATGAGTTTTTTAATAAAAAAAATCTAACTAAAAAATAATTACTAATATAAAAAAAAATTATTTAATTGATATAAAAAATAATATAATTTCTCAAATACTCTATCACAAATTACCTTTTATTATGAGTTTTTAATAAAATGAAATCTAATTAGACTAAGATATATTTAAAGAAATAAAATAATTTGTATAAAGCTCTACCACAAATTAGCGATCTATCACGTTATACAATGATATATTAAAAAGTTTCTAAAAACCTCTAACATAAATTACCTATTTATAAATTTATTATGTGTTTTTTAATAAAAGAAAGTCTAATTAGACAAGAATTATTAATATAAAAAATGTTTATTAATTCATATAAAAAATAAAATAATTTTTCTAAAACTCTAGTACAAATTATCAATTATTATGAGTTTTTTAATAAATAAATAAAAATCATATTAGGGAATAATTATTAAATTAAAAAAAAATATTTATTAATTGATATAAAAATAATTTTTAAAAGAGTTTCTATAAAACTCTAACACATTTTAACAATTTAACTATTTATTATGAGTTTTTTTAATAAAAGAAAATCTAATTAGACAATAATATATTTAAAGAAAATACAAAAATCTCTTTAAAATTTACCATAAATTATTTTTTATAAAACTCTATGACATTATCTATTTATTATGAGTTTTTTAATAAAATAAAATCTAATTAAACAATAATATATTTTAATAAATAATTTTTTTAAAAAACTCTACTACAAATTAGTTATTTTATTTTCTATAAAACTCTAACACATATATCCTGTATTTACATTTTTATTATGAATATATTTAAAGAAAATAAAATAATTTCTATAAAATTTACCTAAAATTACCTATTTTATTTTCTTTAAAATTCTATAACATGTAATCTGTATTTATCTATTTATTATGAGTTTTAATAAAAAAAATCTAATTAAGTAGGACATATTTAACGAAAATAGAATAATTTTTTAACATAGTTTCTATGAAACTCTAACACAAATTTCCTATTTATCCATTTATTATGAATTTTTTAATAAAAGAAAATCTAAATAGACAAGAATTATAAATATAAAAAATATTTATGAATTGATATGAAAAATTAAATAGTTTTTCTAAAACTCTAACAGAAATTACCTTTTATTATGTGTTTTTAAATAAAAGAAAATCTAATTAGATAATGATATATTTAAAGAAAATAAAATAATTTTTATAAAACTCTACCACAAATTATCTGTTTTATTTTTAATAAAACTCTATCACATTAGACAATGATATCTCTAACACAAATTACCTATTTATTTATTTATTTATTATGAGTTTATTAATGAAAGGAAATATAATAAGATGAGAATTATTAATATAAAAATATTTATTAATTAATATAAAAAGATTTTTTAAAAGAGTTTCTGTAAGACTCTAACATAAATTAATTATTTATCAACTTATTATGAGTTTTGTAATAAAGAAATATCTAATTAGACAAGAATTATGAGTATAAAAAATATTTATTAATTGATATAAAAAATAAAATAATTTTTCTAAAACTTTATCACATATAACCTATTTATTAACAATATATTTAAAGAAAATAAAATAATTTTTATAAAAATCTACCACAAATTACCTATTTTATTTTCTTAAAATTTTATCACATATAACATGTATTTATCTATTTATTAAGAGTTTTTTTAATAAAATAAAATATAATTAGAGAAGGATGTATTTAAAAATAAATAAAATAATTTTTTAAAATTTTTTTATAAAACTATAACACAAATTACCTATTTATCTATTTAATATGAGTTTTTTAATAAAAGAAAATCTAATTAGACAATAATTATTTATATAAAAAATATTTATTAATTGATGAAAAAAATAAAATAATTTCTCTAAAACTCTATTTCAAATTACCTTTTATTATGAGTTTTTTAATAAAAGAAAATCTAATTAGACACTGATATATTTAGAGAAAATAAAATAATTTGTATAAAACTATAACACAAATTACTTATTTTATTTTCCATAAAATTCTATTACATTAGAGAAGGATATGTTTAAAGAGTTTCTATAATAAAATCTAACACAAATTACCTATTTATTTATTTATTATGAGTTTTTTAAGAAGTAAAACCTAATTAAACAAGAATTATTAATATAGAAAAATATTTATTAATTGATATAAAAATAGTTTTTAAAAGAGTTTCTATAAAACTCTAACACAAATTATCTATTTATTACAAGTTTTTAATAAAAGGAAATCTAATTAGATAAAAATGACTAATATAAAAAATATTTATTAATTGATATGAAAAATAAATAATTTTTGTAAATTCTACCGCAAATTACCTTTTATTATGACTTTTTTAATAAAAGGAAATCTAATTAGACAAGAATTATTAATTTAAAAAATGCTCTATAAAACTATACCACAAATTAACTATTTTATTTTCTTTAAGTATTTCACTATTTATTTATTAATAAAAAAATATTTATTAATTGATATAAAATGAATTAAAAAAAATTATAAATAAAACAAATTAAAATAAATGAGTTTCAAATCATTATTAAAATAACTAAAAAAATAAGTAAAATAGATAATTATTTAATAAAATAATTTATCAAATAATAAAATAAGTTACAAATCATTCATTAGGTGTGTCTTTTCCATGTGTGTGTGTATCATCAAGCGAAAGATGACATGCATTAGCAGAGGAAACAGTAAGTAAGGAAAGAAAGAACATACTTCTCCAGATCGTCTCTTCAAGGAATGCACACAACTCATACAATCACACGGTAACCAAAACAGGTCGCTACCAGTATCGAGTGCCACAAGAAATGATAGACTCGGTGTCCCCACAGAAATGTTGGCATATTGCAAACTGTATTTCCCACAAAGATATTGATCAAATATTAATTAAAATAGCAGAAAAGGAACTCCGAATCCAAAACTTAAAATCACTACTACATGTTTTAGCACTATAAGAAATACCTGGTTAGCCCTTCAATAAAAAATTAAGGAAAAAAGAAATCTAAAAATGTTAATAAAGAAACCAACATAGTTGAGGTTTTTCAATCTCTACTAGCTTATATATATAGTTGAGGCATGTTTTTTACGTTATGATAATTAGAAAGAAAAAAAAAAATGAAGAGAATACGACATACAATCCAAAAGCAGGGATTTGAAGAGTCTTGTTGCCGGCGACGAAAGTGAGCGGCGTGGAAGCGAGGCGGCGTTCCCGATCACGGTGGATCATGGCGGCGCAGTACTCAGGACTACCCTTCTCAGGCAAGCCATCGAGACCCAGAATTGACTTGACCGGTTCGGAGTACCTGTGATACATATTGAAGCCGAACGTACCAGAACCATTGCAGCTCTGCAAACCCCAAATCAATACAAAAAATACCAAATAAGAAGAAGAAGAAGAAGCCATTGGAAATCTCCAAAAAAAAAAAAGTGTTTGTGAAATGACGAATGAGGAAAGAAGCGAAATGGGTTTTGGGAGGAAGTGATTGAATTTATGGTGTTAACTGAGAGTGATGGAGTGGACTGGTCTTGGGTCAAGTCGTCTTGCTTGTGGAAAGGGGTAGAAGTCGTCGGATGATCGAAACGTTATCGACGGTGCCGTTGCCGTTGGTGTCTCAAATTCCAAGTCTAAGTATAAGAAAGGTCGCCACTCCATCTTCTGTGGAAATTCATCAATAAACAACGAAGAAAAGGTTGCCATAATACACACAGTCAAAGTTGAGAATAGTAGTACACGTTCTGTGGAAATTCATTGGTGACGAATGAAGAAGAGGTTTGCACCTGCGTTTCAGTGATAAAAGTTAAAAACACCAAACCATCCTTTTTTGCTCTTTTTTCTTTTTAACTTTTTGAGTAATAATAGGCTTTCATACGCCCAGGGAAATTTTTTTATTTTTTATTTTTATAGATTTCTCGACATCTTATGTGGAAGGACAAAAGTATCACTTGAATTAAAGCTCCCTCATAAAATATTAAAATGATTACGAGAGAAATAATTACTTATTTTTTTATTGACTTTGACAATGTCTTCACGTATCACGGCTCCTCTCCTCCAAACGTTCTCTCCGAGCATTGACCGCACAATTAATTCTAGACCATTAAATACAATGTTTTGGACGATTTACGCTGTTAATGACAACGGCAAAATTCACACGGTATCGTTTGTGTTTGCTCCTTCACCTCTAGCTATGTAGCATGGATACAAACAAGAAATACGAGTACGTAGACAACTTTAAAAACCAAAAAGAAAAAAAAAAAAAAAAAAATTTTATTTTATAATTTTGCTATGAAATGAATTAAAAAATAAAATTATGTTATTATTGTAATAATTTTTATATCATATGTTATTATTTCATTACTTTGTCGTAATAGTATTCATACTTGTGTTATAAATGTTAAGTGGTGAGAAAATGTCGGCAAAGTGTCTGAAAAGTGCAGTGAAGTATCTAAAATATAAATTAATTTTTATTTATGTACACGTATATGAAGTTTCGAACAAATATTTGAAAAGTTTTGGTGTCCGACACAGGTATAACTCCTTCGTAAAAGTGTCCGTACTTCCTAGGCTTCCAAAGATAAATATCCCTCTAAACATCCCAAGACACCACCCTCTCTGAGTCTATGGAAAAAAAGACATCATGGATGAATCAAATTCCTAACTGAAGAATAAACAAATCTTTCTCATCAAATTGTATTTCTATAAATTTCAATATATATACATATATATACCCACATGATTGCCCTAGATGATCTCATGAATTTGTTTCCTATACTAGAATTGAAGGTTCTATATTGTAATGTATCTATATATATACATAAAATTTGTGTTTGTGTATGAATTGATGTCCAATGATATGAGATCGCGTGAATTGAACAACTTTTAATAACTTGTGAAATTAATCATCAATGGTGGTATGTTTAGAACTAATTTAGGAGCCCTTGATTTGCACTTCAGTGAATGAGAAAAGTTATTGAGAACCCAAATTACTTTGGTTAGAGTTTGGGATTGAGAGCAATTTTAAAGAAAATTCAGATGTGGTATTTTACTGGAGGCCAAAAAGGAGTCACAAGGATCTTTAGAATGGAGACGGATAATGATAGTGCTCTCAACAAGAACCTTGCATTTACACTTCAATGGAGACCAAGATCAATTTTGTTGTTATACAGAGAAAAGATGAATAGTATCATATATAAATAAATGAAAAGGTTTTGTGTGTATGCCAAAAATTGGATACTTCGTTTGAATTTCCTCTGTCGACTCAACATTAGTAGCTCAAAACGGCAGCATTTTGTAAGTTAAATAAGATGTTCACGTGGCATTACAATAACCCAGACCAAATATTAAAAATTTAAGTGACTGACTCCACACTTTTTCCGCCGTACAAATTGCTACATTTTTTTTTTTTTTTTCAATGGGTGGTAAATAAGCAATTTACAGTGTTCTTAATGGCAACAGGAAGGGTTCATAACAAGCAAAAGTAAAGGCTGCACAAATGTTGTAGGTCTGAGGAACAAGATCACTTTCAAAATTTCATTTAATAAAATGGAATGTTAATGTGTTTGCTATGTACATTGTACACTAGATCCCTACAAGCAGGGTCAAATACAATCTGCATAACCATGGGGCAAATAAAAATCAATACAAAATTTTCTATTTCTCTTGAGACCATTTTGAGGTGGGGCTTTCATCATTTGTGAAACAATAGTTTAAACTGAAAAATAATACCACAACGAACTGCTGCTGGTTTGTTACGGAGGCCTTATAACCGCCGCAATAGTAAAAGCAATATGAATAGAAATCTTAAGCAAGAGTAAGTCCAATCTGAAAAATGGCAGTGATAAAATGGAGATGCAACTGAAATCACAGAACTATTTCGGGTCTCTCTGGTTGAGTTTGGAGTAGCATGATTATCTAGTCCAACGGCAACAGCAGGAGGAACTGTGGTAGAGTTGTGCGATTTTGTTGGGAAAGTATTATTATCTTCAGTATCGTAACCTGCGTGTGACAACAGAGTCCGGTTACAAATTCGATAGAACTTCCATGTTTAAGCATGCAGGAGAGTATTGCTTAAAGAAAAGCAACACTTACAGTCAAACTTCTTCCAGCCAAGGACAAGTTTCTCCCGGTCAAATACAATGCGGTAGCCAGTCATAAAATTTTCTGTTTAAGAATCGGTAAATTCAGTGTGAGTAAATCATATATATAAAGATATCAATGCAGAAAGAGAGCATGTCCAATCAGTTCTTGTTTGATATCTCATTGAGATGAAGACAGCAAGACTAGTATTCCAACAGCTGAAGCCTATTCACTAATCACCATCTTTTTTGACCAAGAAGCACTAACAACTAAAAAAGCCTAAATTATGTGTGCTATTATTAAGTCAGTTGAATCTTAACTACAATACTCATCATCATCAATCTCACAAAGATTTGTTTTGGTTACTTTTCAGAATCAATTTTTTGAGCATGTGCACTTCAACTCTGAACCATATCAAATGTTAAAATTCACAAACAATTATTAACGATAAAGGCAAATCTCAATCCATAGCCCCAATCATGTTGCACTCATTTCTCCTGTGAGTGAGTTCTGAATAAGATGTAAACTAAACTAAAGCAAACCAATCCTCAACATTGGTAGACAATGTATCAAAAGTAGCAGACACTCATTAATTTACTTTATCAGTCTTCAAAAAAAATTGCAGGTCACCTTCCAGCTAACAGTTGGCTCTGACACTTGAGGTCTAAATTTGCTAGGCCTAAATTCCTTTTTTTGGCCTATATATATTTTTCCTGTGATATAGAGAGGCTTTGTTCTTCAAGATTGATTGAGGTAGATGTATTCTATTTCAAGCAATCTGTCTATTCAGATTGAATTACACTGTTTATGAAGGATTTGCAGCTTCAAGATATGCCATGTGTGGTCTAGTCAAGAATCCAGGTCTCCGGCAACAAATTGTTCTCTGGATTAGTTACAAAATGAGAGGCAAGTCTTTGCCAAAAAGATCACGAGTGTTGCTTTTGCTGCTATGCTGTATCATGTTAGGGCTAGGTGAAATCAAAGGACTTCTGAAAATAGCTGAGAGTACAAGAGAAGCTTGCTATTTGATGTTGCTAAAGATGCCAAAAGGGCCTTTGCTGGAACTAAGGATGTTGAAAACTCTACTCTTGCAAGGAATACTTAGAAAATTTGGAATACTGCTGTGCATTGGAAAGGGGCTGGAATCAATTTTAGGCTGGTCATGCATTTGGTTGTCTAAAGTTGTACTGTATTCTCGAGTAAAGGGCTTTGGGATTGTTTATCTGCTCTGGTTATGTCTTTTGTTATAGTTCAACTACGTGTAGTGGTTAGAGGCCATGCCATTATTACTAATCAGGACTTCCTGCGAATAAACATATTCTTATCATCTTATGATCTAAAGAAAAATTTATTACTGATACAAAAGGAAAAAAAAATGTTTAATTTGGAGTGTGTGCATGCATTGGACATGAGGAATTAATAAAACTTTCCTTTGCATTCTTGACATGCTAATTCAATACAGTATATATATAGCATGAATCTCAAGCACGACTTGCAGAAGAGACTTACGCCCGATTATATTGAGTTCCGCGCTCTTGACAACAGCCAGGCAATATACAACTTCTTGCTGCATATAATTAGTGCCAGAATATTTTTTAATTAGCAGGAAAAATAACACATGTAACTCATAAAGGTCTTAAACAACAATTCTAATTGTGCCAACATCGTACCTGCATGGAGATGACAATTATTGGATCAAAGATGGCAAGTTGGCCTCCCCCCGCCATGGTTAGGCTTAGAGTGGGTATCAAACTAGTGTTTGCATCAGAACTGCCCATCATATAGAAGAAGAAAAAAATTAGACTTGGATGCTAGAAAGTAGAAACTGGAAGAAAATACTGATAAGATTAAAAAAAAACCTCATATCATAACAATACTCAAAAGGGATCCTCGAATCAGGTGGACGTCGCCTATCTTGTGCTTGCAAATGGAACTGCAGAAATGCTAGGTTCAGGGACTGGCTATAAATGAAATTTGAAAGGTTAATTTTCATCATTAACTACTTACGCTCTCTGAAAGTCTTGTATAGGGTGCGTCAACCAGGTATGTGAAAGAGGTCCCAGAATCAAATAGAGCAGTGAAATCCAAGTCGATGATAGTAGTCCCCACACGAGTTTGAGTAACAGTAACATTATAGGTGGGACTGCAACATAAGTTTAGATCAATAGTCACAGAATGACAGGGCGGGGTTGGATGGGGGAAGAAATATCTTCACAAACAAAAAATTAGCATTAAATTAAGTGATAATTACCACTTACTGTAATGGATTCAGATTAAATGGGGTTTCGTCCTGGTCTAGGCTACCCTTATCTCCGAAGTTAATCCTTCCAGTTCCATCGCTTCCGAAACACATTGAAAAAGAATCTGCAGTATAACCCTCCCTGGATAAAATGCTGGGAACTGATATCTTCTCCAAACCAAGCCCAAATAAGCCATTTGGTGCCGCAACATCTAGAAATGAACCAGTCTGAACCTGTCCACAGCTGCAAAATATAAATTGTTCTTTTATCTCATCCTAAATGTAAGTTAAAGAAAAAGGCTCAAACTGACTTGTCAGTTGGGATGCCAGTGTACTTTAACTGAGAATCTACAAACTAAATACCCCTAACATGCTTATTGTAACCGGTAAGCTAAATAGCAACGAAATGCATGAAATTGGGAACTTGGTGTTTCTCAGAAGTTGAAAGATATAATAAAGGCCTCTAAGAAACAGAATGATGCTGGAATAAGGTGTCCAAATCAGCTGAAGTAAATAAATTGGCAACTTACCCAAACATTATGTACGCCTCAATGAATTCTTGATCATTATCTTCTGTTCTTAAGTGCAGAACATCCTCCACCAAAATCCCTGATGTTGAAGTTTCAGATGATACATAGGACACTGTGTATGGGCAATGACTCAATGTTTCCAGGCATCTATTGCGGTGTGCACACAAACTATTGGTGCATGTGACCTTTTTGCTTGTTGATGAACCTTTAGGGCTGTATATGCTAAGCTCAAATTCCTACCACACAATAGTTTAATGAAAATCAATGCAAGGTAAGCGAAAAAAATTCAACGTAAGAACAGTGAAAGATAAATCCTAGACGCTACCTGGTAATTGTTGTTTCAAGCACCTAGTATCTATGCCAAAGTGCAAAATCATGCAATAATCATCCACTCTGGCCTGCAATACGTTATTACTATATCAGATTTGTTTCAATCCAGTGGACTTTAGCAATTTTTCTAGTGTTTCTTCCTTTGTAACCTATGTAGCATGGAGGGTGGCAGATTCCCAAGAATCAATGGGTCGGTAGATTGAGGGTATCACCAATCCATGCAAGAGAGATTAGGGAATGCAAATCATGATACAGCCAATTTTATGAAGATTTTATTCAAAATCTTAAAATTTAGATGGCCAGGCTTATAAGTGCGATTTATATAAGAATGGAGAAACGGAAGAGGAGGGAAAAGGGAAAGGAGGAAAACAACTCCTTCGCTAGGTAGAGGAAGAATAGAAAATGAAAGGAAGGGAGGAAGGTAGCTCTTCCCCTCCGGTCCTGCAAAATCCTTTCCACCAAAAAATGAGTAGAAAGGAGTAGTGAACATTCTTCCAATCTTCCCTTCGTTTCTTTTACACTTTTGGGCCTTCAAAATTTTTTAAAATTAGAGTTATTCAAGGGTAAAACCCTTCCCTTCATTCCTCTTTTCTTCCTAATTGACCAGAACATATGAGGAAATTGTTCCTTCGTTTCCCTAATAATAACCATTTGATCTCTCCTACTTACTCTTCCTTTCAATATTCCAGTGTACAAAATGGAACATTATAGCCAACCAAAACGAAGAGCAACTGTCCTTTTACTGTTAATATTGAACTATATTCCATTGGTAATGCCTTTGGAATCACACACACACACGATTATGCATTATAGAGACTCAAAAGACTAAGGTATGATATAATCATTAGTCACTGCTCTTGCGCCTGAATCATGCATTGATTACTTGGCTCCTTCCTCGCCTTCTTTCTTCATTCTCTTTTTATTGGCATCTCTGCTCATGGTGTGGAATCAGCTTTGTCTTCATACTTGAATCTGTATCATTTTCACAATCCTCACTTAATGTAGCTGTGCTGGAAAAAGGAAGTCAGGCTATTGATCTCCCTTGACAAGGTTATATACTCCACTTTGAAACCCCTACTAGAAAGAGAAGGAATACATGAAAAGGAGAGATAATTGAAGAGGAAGAGCGGATTCTATTGCTTGGGTTCTCTCATGAACCTTGAAACTCAAATCAAGGTTGAGATGGATGTACTTCCACTATCTCTTTGAACCATATAGTTTCTGATGATGAATACATTCTTACAGATATAGTCCTCTCTAGTCATCTGAAGTAGTATCCATTGACAACACATTTGCAATTTGTCATTTATAAATTGACAAATCCATTCCTAGAGATATGGTCTCACCAAGAGCAAGATGCAACACCAAATCCAGATAACTAAACCAAGGAGTAAAGCCATAAAGTGCAATAATCAGCATGATATAGCAGTCTGGGTTAGGCAAAAGTCGAACTAAGTAGATAGAAAATTTACTTCCAAACAATTTAAGCAATTTAACCCGATCCTTAACAGCTAATTACAAGAAAAAAAAAAAACACCAAAAATATATTTTCTAAGTAGACAAATCGGAATTTAAATCATAAGCAAGTCTATTGCTCCATAATTTGGGTGATCTATTAGTGTTAAAAGGCTCCTCAGCTGTCCTAATTTCATAGCTATTACCCATATGCAGCCCTCAAACACCACAGCATATGTTTGCTCAATCCATACATTACAAATTGATTTCTTTTGAGATGATAGTTTTAAGAATTTCTGCTAGTGGATCATACATACACCTAACTATATACATAGTATGCACACAGCTGTATAGGAAGAGTTAAGTCATTAATATCAACAAAAGTTGAAAATGGGAAACAAGCTAGAGCAGTTGCATGTGAGTTAAGTTTATAAATCAATAAAGTAACCCATCATCAGAGGCACTAGTTACCAAGAAAAAAACACCAAGTGAAGTTTATAAAAGCGAGCAATAATGTCCGAAGTCAGGTATGTTTCTCTCAACCTAGTAAAATAACAGTGTTATGGCCTAGGTATACATATGGAATGCATCCGACTTGAATAGTAGGACAAGCACCCGAGAAGCCTGTCCATTAATTCAGATTTGTAGTTATTCAAGAAAACTTTCTCCTTATGTTCATTCATTACATTGCAAGTGTCTAAGATAATAACTACATCCTACATAAACATATAACTTTACCCAAGGAAATAAAAGAAGAATGTTTCGGAAGTTGAATACATTTAGCTGTGTTCTTAGATATGACGACTAATAAATACCGCCAACAACTAGACCCAACCCCACACTTGACATTCATATGCATATCCATATCCATATCCAAGTCCATATAACATTGCATATAATATAGCACTTTTCCCCCCGATAATCCTGTTAAATATAAATGCTTCTCTGTTCATTTCCTCATCTATCAAATTTGTGGGTTCATAGAAAAACAACAAGATTTTGGCAAAAAACTAGACAACAAAAAGCGAGCCTAAACAGCCAAGAATTTAACAATAGATAAAAGAGGGAAATGAGAACACACAGAGCTATAAGGAGTGTCTTCAGTTGGTGCACATCTGCTGCAATCACAGGGCACCCAGAACAGGTCACTCCCAGTGTCCAGCGCCACCAAGAACTTCGTACTAGGCGTCCCTAGTGACACGGTCGTGTAATGCAAACTGTACAAATCTCCACAAAGAAACCAAAAAACACATTAACCAAACAACCCCTAAATCAAGAAAACAAAATGGACAAAAAAAACAGCAAAGCAAAGAATCGCACAATCCCAAAGAGTTGATCCGAAAGGTTGAATTGCCTTCGGAAAAAGTAAGCGATCCGTTGAATTCCGAAAGGCGTCGGCCTCGGATGACCTGATCGTGGTTGGCCAACTGAGCGTAGTACTCAACACTTCCTCTCACAGGCCAATTTTCGGCAAGAAAATGTTTTCCGGCGCTTTCGGACAATTTCTTGACTGGTTCGGAGAAGCGGTGATGCATTTCTAAGGTGAAGATACGGCCATTGCAAGTATTGAATCCCCAAAGTGAGAGCAATATGAGCGAGAATGCAAAAAAAGAAGCCATTTGGGCGAACTTGATCTGAAAGAGTAAAAAGAACTGCATCAAAATGGAAGTTGCTTTCGAATCCCCAATTCTTGGAAGGTGAAAGAGATGGTCGGTTCACTGAAATTAGGGTTAGTTTGAGAGAGGGAGAGAGAGATCTACACTGTAATGATTCTAGTGAAGAAAGTAGTTTTGAGTTGTTGATTCACTATATATATATATATATATATATATATATATGAGTGTGTGTATATTTATTTTGGTCAGTTGAGGAAGGTGGAGTTGGCTTCAAGTTCAAACTTGAACCACAAATCACAGATGAGTTGGCTCGGGCACTCAACGTCGCCGACTTGGCATTTTCCAACTAACGAGTTGACTCGTTGGGCTGTAAATTACGTACTTTCATAAAAATAAAACTGAGTTAAACGAGTTTGCTTGTGCCAATTTCTTTCAGCAGATTATGATGTGACTCAGTATTTATTATAAGTTACAACTATAATATTTAAAAAAAAAAAAAAAAAAGTTGTTTATGTAATAATATTATTATATATAAAAATAATATATATTTTTACCATTTGGGGTAATTACACTTACCTCCCCTGGGGTTAGGCCTAATTACAGGCGGTACCTCTAACGTTTAAAAAATTACACTGACCTCTCTCCAAACTGATCGGCATTTTATTCCGGCCATTGACCATGTTAAATGACTAAAACACCCTCTAATATTTTATTAATATGACATGACACTGTGAAATTACTATATTGTCCACAAATAAAATTATACTTGTGTAACATATACACACCTACATATACAAACCCCCGCCGCCCGCTGTCCCTGTGATATCCCTCGGATCCGAGATACGGGTTGATCAAGCCCAGGCCCAAATCCGAGGGATATCAAACAATTAATATTTTATAATGAACACATAATACAAACCGAAATAAGAAATGAAGTTTAAGCTGATAGAAACTAAAATAAAATCCTCAAATAATAAAGATTAAGTAATTCAGCTCCAAAAACCTCCAAGGTTACAACTTGGGAATCCAACTAGTGGACCCTGAAATAAAACTCCAACTGAAAATAAAGATATTCCAAAACTAAATCATGAAGTAAAATCCTACATCGTCGGTAGAATGAATGAGAGACCCTACTGCGCACAATCAAGCTTGAGACTGGAACCGTCCGTAACCTGAAAAGAATAATAAAGGAGTGGGTCAGGCCCACATGCAAGTCCTAATCCAACTGTAATCCATACAGTGCCCGATACGCAGATACACCCTAGATACCCTCCATATAACTACGTAACCCATAAATATACATATATATCCACACTAAGGACATTCACTGAACTATAGTAGAGGTCTCAACCTGAATAGAAGGCAACATGCGAAAACGCACCCAAAGGTGGGCATGAGTACCTAAACTTAACAGGATACACCTACCTACTAAATCCAGCTGCGCATCCACTGCATTTACGCACCCTAACCAACGACTCTGAGACTCGCGCTCATCTCATGGTATCATAATCATATATCTAAAGTCCGTCCGAAACCATAGTATGTCATTCACTTATTCAATGAGGAGACATACAAAATACCATCCAGATAAGCACTCAACTTATTCGTTGAAGTGACTTAACCACAACCAATTAATCCAGGGAGTCATTTAACCTAATCAGTTGATTCAACTCAACACATTAACGGATTCAATATTTTACAATTCATACTTTCCATCTGGTAGGTTAGGTTAGCGTTTTTAAGCTAAACCATCCCCTAGTATGCCACCGTCCTATACCGGTGAATACAATCCTCCATAATCATGTAGATTATAGCCTATAAACAATTATTAAGTGATTTACAGTTCAAATCCTCATCCATGTAATTGCAGAAAAACAGTTTATATTCTAGCAATTTAAATCCGAGCAAAAATTCAGTTAATTGCAGAAAAGATTTAAATTTGTCAGCCATTAATATCCAGAGCATGCATATAACACATTTATTAAACAGATGACCCTAACATGCATTTATAGTCAACATATAAGCTCATGTTAATCCACTGGATTCACAAAGTTTAGCCTAAGCAACTAAGTCTCCTTCCGTTTGTTAATCATATACAATGTACATAACCTTTCTACAATTTGTTCTGTTAATTCAAAGGCAAGCTCTGATCACTTAAGGATCCTATTAGCACTTAAAATTAGCTTCTTAGTCACACTGAAAAGTCCTAGAATTTTTTAGACATAGTTCAGACCCTCAAAATTCCAAACAACTCGTTAAAATTCAAAATTTCAAAAGTAGAGAGCTTGCTCTACTTTTGAAAGAGCAGGCTCTTGGAATTCCTAGAGCCGGCTCTTTGATGGGGGAGCCGGCTCTTTGCATTCTAAAGTCGGCTCTCTCCTCCTCCTCGAGCCTTCTTCAACCTCTGTTGCTCCTACAACTTCCTGCAGTGTTTTCGGCCATTCACAACTTATCTAGTTGGTTTCAAACTGATCCTAAGAGTCCTATCTAAGTCCAGTATCATTCCCAAGAAGTGTTTATAGCAGTTAAACACAAAAACAGAGGCTACATATTCATCAAATTTTCATGCTTTAAGAAACAAACTGCTCACAGATACGCACCAACTGAAACGGAACAAATTTTCACATATACAGAACATGAATATAACATCTATTAAACATAAGAAACTCATTTAAATGTTTAATTAAATCCTAGAAGCTATCTAGGTGCACAAAACACAGGCAAAGGGAAGAAGAAAGAAAAGAACTTGCCTTTGAGCTTCAGACTTGAAACTCTAAATTCCCAGTTTCTGTAGTGATATGTTTGTGTCCTAAACTGCACAACACCTCCTCCAATGCCTTGATTCAACCTTGGTCTAGAACAAAACCTAGACCTTCTATCTTCCTCTGTTCTCCCTCTGTACCTCACAGTTTCTGCGTCTTTTGCAGAACTCAATTCACGTCTCCGAGATAACTGCTATGAATCTAAAACCCTAAGCTTACTACATGTAATATATTTATAAGCTTAACTCTGAACCCTAATCCTTGTAACCTTAAAGCCAGAGCCCTTCTCGGCCCATAAACCAACCTAGGATATATACCTACGTCGGCCACCCATGTGAATTGCAAAACCTAAATTCACGTGGAGCACAGAAAAACTAAATTCCCTTAAATCTAAATTTCCATTAAATAAAATTGATTAAACAATTAACTAAACCCAATTAAATAAAAATAAACTTAAATAAATAAGTACCTAAATACAATTAAATAAAATAACTAAGCAATTAATTACATAACATGACTAATTTACCAAATAAAACTATGAAGAAAATCATTAAATAAAACAATTATGCAAATAATCAAATAAAAATGCAATTAAACAATAAACTAAATTCCAGGAATAGTCTTTTTAAAAATTAGAGGTATTACAGTTCCCCACCCACCAAGGAAATCATTTTCTCCGGCGACCAATTTTATTCAATGTAGCCATTTCCTCTGACGATCCATTACATTAATCATTACCACTCAACTTTCCCTCTATATCACACACACCATAAATACATACACAGACAACTACCACACAACCACCACCATCATAATCATCACCACTAGCGGACTCTTCTACAACGACAACCAACACGGCACTATCATCCACTGGTGAAGCCAACGGTAACGACCTAAAATAAGGAAACTGAGGAAGAAGAAAACTTGGTGGATCCAAGAAAGTGTTTCAACTGGTCAAACTTATGTATAGATATATAGATATATGGGCAGGACAAAACAGAGCTATCATCTCCGGCATAAATTCACCGATCTGAACATGAACATCTGCCGCCTCGATTTCGCCGACATAGACATGATTGCCATAATATTCACCGGCGAAGTCGCACCTGGCAAAACTCCAGATTGGATGCAAATCAGAATTCAGAAACCGTAGTGAGCTCGGCCGGTTCTCGCTGGTGAAGCGGTTCGAGTCGCCGATCAATTGAGAGCTGCGAGACTTGTGAAATGACGATGATTTGATAACGCTGAAGTTTTCACTCTTTTGGTACTCATTGAGTTCGTCTCGGTCATCGTTGTAGGGATGATGCTTTCGCAGAAGACGATGTTGTCGATTGGGTTGATTGAAGTTTAGATCGATGAAGAACTCGAATAGGTCTTGATCTATGGGGGTTTTTGGATTAAGGTGTAGCCGCGGATGGCAAAGTCGAGGAGGAGAGCTGCTCTGTCGGCGGAGGGGTTTCCATATATGCTGGCGGCAAGGGGCTCCATCGATTTCAGCAGTGATTATTGTGGCAGCGACGATTTGCAACTATGTATATATATGTAGATCTAGAATGAGCCAATGTGTGTGTGTGTGTGTATATATATATATAGAGAGAGAGAGAGAGACCAGGTGATATATATTATGGGGAAGGCAGCGAGGCATGCCGGACAGCGGAGAGGAATACTAAGTAGCCATGAGGGAGCCAACGAATGGTAGAAGGCGCGGTGGGCGCAGAGGATGAATCCGCCGTTGTTGGGGCAGTGGTGATCTCGATAGTGATGAGGATACACACACACACACACACACTGATATTACATAGTATTTGTCCCTTTTTTTTTTTTCTTTTTTTTTTCTTTTTTCTAGGTATATAAGTTATTTTAATACAAAAGTAAGGGTTAAAATGTCTTCGCAAATACAGTAAGGGCAAATGTGTATTACAGGGTTAAAAAGTGCTGATGTCATAAAAAATCATCATTGACCGACGTTGACTTTCATCGGAGGGGGCTAAGTGTTACGATAGAGCGAACCTTGAGGGAGGGCTATATAATTTTTTAAATGTTAGGGGTACCGCCTGTAATTAGGCCTAACCCCAGGGGAGGTAAGCGTAATTACCCCTTACCATTTTATTGATATAATTATAAATAAATTAGTAATTTAGAGTTTAGATTTAGATGTTTGTTATTTTTGTTTTCTTAAATTTTATATTATATTTTTAATTAACCCATAATATATATTTTAGATTGTATTGAATTATAATTTTATTTATTTATAAATAATTACAAAATCATTCGTCATATTTTGAAAGTGTCTAAAACTTATCTTTGTCCAACCATAAAAGAAATATTAACCCATACTTCTAAACATATCCGACACGTGTTGAATTCGTATTCGTGTATGCGACAAATATATCCGTTACTATCACGGCACTTTAGAAAAATTATCCAGACTTTAATGTTTGAATTCGATTTAAATCCTTTAACATTTATTTGAATTATATTTTGAGATGTCATTTATTGACATATATTATATACCCGTCTTAGTATGTTTTGTCTTCCACTTTGGGACTATGAATCATGTGCCACATAAACAAAATCATAAGATTATGACATAGTAGAATTAATTATGACATAGTAGAATTAGGACCTTTCTTTTCTATTTGTTTTCGCATTAATATATACTTTGATTGTGAATTATCTCATGATTTATTTCACGAATTTTTTTGATGGATGCGGTATTCTTATTTCTACATGGTTTCCCAATTTAATTACTGATTAGAGGTCCCTCTCCTCACTTTGAGTTTTCACAATCTAGTAGACATCAATGTGATTAGAAGTTCAAATGATCTTTTGTCTGGACTACAATTTTAACTCTTGGAAGTTTACGAGGATAAATAGACAGAAGCGACAATAGACAGAAGCCATTGATGGTTTTCTTAATCTATGGATCTGGTTCATAAACTGGGTTATTCAACGATAAAATCTTTATAGTTTTCTTAGTCTGATTTAGAAAATGGTTACTCTTAAATGGGTAGAATTCAATGTTTTTGTGAACCTATTTAAACACTGAACTTTCATCTATGTTTCTTGGAATCTCAATTTACAACCCAGATCTTTGATTTGTATTGGCTATAATCGTGTTGTGAGTAGCATTTTTTTGATGGTCGGAAATTAATTTTCAACCGAAACTGCAAAAATTTGCCAAAGAACTTTGCAAAATGAATGTTGGAAGAGACTTTACATCTTCTCTAAATAGAAAATGTCTCAATCAAATTGTTGTATTTGGTGGAGTCAAATTACTTGATTTTTAAAGACAAAAAATTGGACCAAGAAAATCGGGGAGAGAGAATTGAAAATAAAAAAATTGTACAAAAACTATGCTTGTTTTCTTAAACATATTTTATGAAAGCTCAATTATAAATGTATTTTATAATTCTTTAAAAAAAAGTTTCATGTTAACCAAGAAGGGTCTATTTTCACAATGGTATGAAAGCATACCTGATCTGCTAGGGGTTCTTCCACGAGAATGCTTCCTCGTGAATCTCCGTGTATTATGGGGAAGGCAACGACAACTATTCAACTTTCCCTGACTGAGTTGGTAGTTGAGATGTTATGACTCATGAGCTAAGAAGCAGTGAAGCACGTACACTTCTATGAGGTGTCGTGTCAAACATCGACATTCCGTGGACATTCCTATAAGGTGTCGTGTCCATGTCCAACACCGACATTCCATGGACATTCCTTAATATGTGTCTGACACTAATGGCCCTGTTGCGTATTTTAAAATAAAGTTTTACTATTTCAGACACTTGGCTGACACGCACGCTGGACATTTGGTCAACATATTCAAACATTTAGTCCACACAAAAAACAAAAACACGACAATCTTGAAAACAACATTTGAACATACATCAAAGTGTTAGGAACAAAAATATAATTATGATGATAAGATATATAAAATAATAATATCATCTATAATATACAATTTTTTTTTTTTTTTTTTTTTTTTTTTTTTTTTTTTTTTTTGATATTTGAATAGTGTCATCCTTTAACTTATGATTGCCTCATTTAATATATATAAATATAAATGACATTTATATAGCCGTGTCCACGTCGTGTATGTGTTCTATTTTTTACAACTATTCAACTTTCCCTGACTGAGTTGGCAGTTGAGATGTTATGACTCATGAGCTAAGAAGCAGTGAAACACCTACACTTCCATGAGGTGTCGTGTCCGACACCGACATTCCGTGGACACTCCTATAAGGTGTCATGTCCATATCCAACACCGACATTCCATGGACACTCCTTGATATGTGTCTGACACTAATGGCCTTGTTGAATATTTAAAAATAAAGTTTTACTATTTCAGACACTTGATCAACACATAAAACAAAAATACGACAATCTTGAAAACAACATTTGAACATACATCAAAGCGTTAGGAACAAAAGTATAATTATGATGATAAGATATATAGGATAATAATATCATCTATAATATACAATTTTTTTTTTTTTTTTGATGTTCGAATAATGTCATCCTTTAACTTATGATTGCCTCATTCAATATATATAAATATAAATGATATTTATATAGCCGTGTCCATGTCGTGTATGTGTTCTATTTTTTACAATTTAATGTGTCAGTGTATTCGTATTGTGCCATGTTTGTGTCCGTATCTATATCCGTGCTTCTTAGCTCATGAGTCATGAGTGAGGGCTAAAGGAAAGAAGGGAAGAATTGTGGCGACGTCCTTCATGTAGTTTTTGATGCATATCACGAAAATATTTCGTGATATGTAGCATTGCTCTAACATGATAATTATGTATTTGACAAATTATATTTACTCCTTTAAAAAAGGTGACTAAATATGGGTTGGGTTGTTTTATCTTTCGTAATTTGTAACCGAAAAAAAACTGATATTTTGGCCCATAAGTGATTTGATTTACTAACAAGTTTATTTAGTCATATGTGATATAAAAAAGTAAAGCTCTCCGCTTCTTTATATTTATTTGGTAAAGATGAAGAATCAAAATTGGTACATCAAGGAGTTGTTTGGCAATGCAATCAGTGACGGACCCAGCATGGGACTAGTGAGGGCAGATGCCCCCCACTGGATTTTTTTTTTGGATTTTATATTTCAAATTTTTGATAATTTGTGAAGATACCCCCACTAAAATTATAATTTGTCCCCGTTGATTTTATTTATTTATTTATTTATTTTTTGAATTTTATACTTTAAATTTTTAAAAATTTATGAAAAAACCCTATTGAAATTACAAAAATAGACCCATCATATAATTTTGTACTCTCAAATTAAAAGGCCGCCCCCCTCACAAAATTTCCTGGGTTCGTCACTGACCGCAGTTGCTACAAAATGTGTTTGGTAAAGTTAGTTGTGTCCATGTCGTGAATGTGTTATACTTTTTTAGAATTTGACGTGTTAGTGTATTCGTATCATGCCATGTTTGTGTTTCGTGCTTCTTAGCTCATGAGTCATGACTGAGGGCTAAAGGATAAAATGAAAGAATTGTGGCTACATCCTTTTTATGAGGTTTGTGAATGAAAAAAAGTTTCATCTTTGATTTGTATTGGCAACCGCAGTTGCTAGGAAATGCGTTTGGTAAAATCTGTTGTGATTTGAATATTACTAAAATGCTTCTGAAAAAGAGGCCAAAACTTGAAGCACCTTCCGACTGCTTCGGCACTGTACCAAAAATATTATAAAAAGTAAAAATTTAAAATTTAAAAATAATATTTTTAACTGTTTAATTATTTTTTTAAAACTTGCAATACTTTTTATGAAATACGTTTTGGTATTTTTACTTTAAATAATCTTACAACAAATATATGATAATGTTTCAAAATAGTATTGAAAACACATTAAACACAACATTGCTTCTGCTTTAACATTTAAACATAACATTGCTCTACTTTAACTAAGGGTGGCAATTCATGTTTGTGGGTCGAACAAGTGTTCGCTTCGTATCGATGTAAGGGTATTATACTAAATAGGTAAACTAAAACCCAACTTATTTAATAATTGTGTCAAATATCCTAACACTAATCCAACCCGTTTATTAAATAGACGTGTTTATTAAAATCAGACATTTTATATTTAATCAAATACTAAATAATAAAAAAAAATTATCATAATTAACCCAAATATTCAAAAAAAAAACAAAAAAAAAATCATAAAATATGGATAAGGTTTATATTAAAATAACTTAACTATTCATAATAATTGAATTTAAATAAATAACATATTATATAAATTATATTTACGATTATAATATATGAGTTAAATATATCATAAATGAGTTAAACGGGTTGAACTCTTTCAATCCGTTAAATAAATGAATTAGTAGTGTTGATCTCCCTTTAACACTGCTCGGAATCAAAACAAAAGCACAAATGAATTGTGCATCCCACACATCCCGAGCAAAATTGTTCAACCCAAATATCACAGCTCATTGTGACTGGTGGTGCAAGGGTGTGTTGGCTTCTTCCGCAGCTCAATCCGACCGCCTGAAAATATCCTCCTCTGCCGCCGCTGAATCCGTACGCATCATCCATGGCTCTTCGTTGTGTACTTGAGAGTGTGGGTAGAATTGGTTATAAGAATCATCTGAAGAAGACAAAGCTAGGGCTTTTGAGTGGCCTTATCTCTCTCTCTCTAACTCTCTCTCTCCAAATCTACATAAATACCTACTACAATTACGGGAGTACTAAACCCTTCTCGGGACCTTTGGATGATCCGAGTCTTACAGGTTTAGATTTAGATTTAGATTTTGTTTTTGTTTTTGTTTTTTTTGGCAGCAATGCAATTTAATTTTATTTCCAATATGAACTGTCTAATGTGCCTCGCCAATTCCTTCGCTCCCACTGTGTGTGATGTGTAAAATGCAAAAAATTTATGATCCCTGTGAACCTTATGTTGGTGATTTGTCTTCATTGAATGTAATTAAAGCTGCATATGTTCAAATGTGGTATATCACCTTCAAATCGAATGTAATTAAACCTAGCTTACACTGTGATTAGTATCAGCTTCAAATCGAATGTAATTAAAGCTGCATATGTTCAAATGTGGTATATCACCTTCAAATCGAATGTTCAAATTTTTTTTGATTTCTGTGAACCTTATGTGGGTGATTTGTTATCTTTATTGTCTTTCTGGTTGTTATTGTTAAATGTTTTCTTAGTCCATCACTTTATTATTATTGCTGTATTGTCTTTCTGCTACTCATTGTTAACAGTATCTACCTTATCCCAACTACCCCATGGTAATATGTAGGAAGTTAAAATCAGGGTTGTGTTTGTTTTGGATTTTTTCGACTATATACGGTATACCCACATGGATTAGGTCAAATGTGGTATACCACCTTTGAGGCAACTGATGCTGGTGTGAAGAACACTTATCAAGCTAAGGTTTATTGTTCTTTTCAATAGGAATGGGCATTAGAGTTGTGTAGGCTCGCTCCCCAGAGACCTTCCAATGTGGTTGTTTACGCAAGGTACCTACTTCGAGACCTTAGTGTTTGAATTTGATTTAAATCCTTTAGCATTTATTTGAATTATATTTTGAGATGTCATTTATTGACATATATTATATACCCGTCTTAGTATGTTTTGTCTTCCGCTTTGGGACTGTGAATCATGTTCTACAGAAACAAAATCATAAGATTATGACATAGTAGAATTAGGACCTTTCTTTTCTATTTGTTTTTGCATTAATATATACTTTGATTGTGAATTATCTCATGATTTATCTCACGGAATTTTTGATGGATACGGTGTTCCTATTTCTACATGGTTTTCCAATTTAATTTCTGATTAGAGGTCTGTCTCCTCACATTGGGTTTTAACCTTTAATGTTAACCTTGCTTCATTAATTTGATCATAATTTTGAAAACGGGTTATCGATATACACTTTATATCCTTTTCTATTAGAGAAGAAATTTTTTATTTTCTCATCAGGTACAATATTTATTGGTTACCGTAGTTGTTAAAGGAAACATTTTGACCCTTTTTTGCTTGCGGGTTGTGGACCCATAGCCCAATATATAAGGGTATTTAGGGTTTGGAGGGATATTGAGAAACACTAAAAATTGCAGAAAAGAGAGTGAGAGCAAGAGCTAGGGCTTGGGGGCGGAAACTTGTAATCTCCAGTTTTTTTGCATAGTGAAATCTTTCACCGGATCTCCATCGTGGATGTAGACACACCTTGCATCGAACCACGCTAAATCTTTTTGTTCTTTGTGTGTGGCGTGTTTATTTTTCTGTCATGCTTCGTGATTGTTATTTGGTTCTTTGTTGTTTCTTGCAACATTATTTTTAGATTTATTAAAGTAACAATCCATAAACACTTTTATTCCTCTGCTTATCTGAATTCCTTTAAGTTTTAGACCTTTCCTCCAAACCTCCAATTTACACTTATCTTTCCTCTAGTTTCATCAATGAATATAATACAATCAAATAACATATACGATGGAATCTGATCCTATCTCATCAATTTATCCATAGCTAAGGCAAAATATATTCTTAATGCTAACCCTTGACCTGAAGGAGAAGGAAAAAGCTGAAGGAGAAGGAAAAAGCTTCCGACGCTGTTAGAGAGAGAGAGAGAGAGAGAGCGAGTTGGGAGAGGGACCTAGTGAGAGAAACAACCACCATGTGAGAGAAGAAACTAGTGAGAGAAAGATAGGTTCCGATTCAAACCCTAGCAAGAGAGACCCCAACGAACCTCCTTCCGATAACTGCTGTCCAATCTGTTTTGACACCTTCGTCGTTCCTTCCGGGCTTAGTGTGGCCACTGGTATTGTGGTAAGTTTTCCATACCAAAATTCCCAATCCTCTGTTTCGTTTTCTCTATTTTCTTGGCAACCAAACAAGCATGAGTATTTTATTGCATTTGATTTGTTTCTAGAACCTTTTTAAAGATGGAGTTGCATATTTTTTTGCTTGCTTCTTGGTTGAGGTTTTGTTTGGGTCTTGACAAACTCTAGGATAAGGGGAGAAAATTGGGTATTAGAGATTTCATATTGAACCTAAGATGGTGAATTACTCTGTTTGTTTTTATAATTTAATTTTGGTTAATGATATGCAGCATAACTCAGAATTTGTGTTCCTATATCCTAATTGTGGATCATTAAACTATCTATGTAGTAACCTGTAGTCACTGCACACAACTAAATATAACATAGGTTTTACAAGTAATTATAGTTCGTTTGAAACATCTTTTGAAGTCATTATTAACTTGTGTTAGTGTATATTTTTTTGTAATTTTATAACAATTGAAAACATCTGATCTGTGTTCTATATATCCAGGCAAACGCTTTTCCTTCCTACCAAGGTGATGCATAGTTTAGAGGAAATAATTAAACTACCATTGAGGCTATAATCTCTTCAATTCACTTGCGGATAAAAGTGGTTGTTTGAGGCACTAATCAAGCAAATATAGAGTTACTGACATTGTTTTAAACTCTAGCTACAAGTTCTTCCTTTATGTTTAGTTGGGTTATTTGAAGCCAGAGCGTGATTAGTGCTTTGAAGTGTTAATTATACGTTTAAAAACTGCTAACCATGTTTGGAAATAGTATTTGAACACACTTCAAACATAACATTGTTTGAGTTCACACACATCCCAAGCAATTCCACTTATATAATTCAACCCAAATATCACATCTCTTTGTGACTGGTGGTGCAAGGGTGTGTTGGTCATTTCAAAATCCTCCCTCAGTTAACTATAAAAAGGCTACCCCAAGGCTTCTTCTGCAGCTCAATCCGACCGCCTGAAAATATCCTCGTCCGCCGCCGCTGAATCCGTACGCATCCATCCATGGCTCTTCATTGTGTGATTGAGAGTGTGGGTAGAATTGGTTATAAGAATCATCTGAAAGAGACAAACCTAGGGTTTTTGAGTGGCCTTTCAACCAAAAACCACCACCAGAATCTCAGCCCTTTCTGTCGTCAAGCTAGGGTTTTTGAGTGGCCTTTCAACCAAAAACCACCACCAGAATCCCAGCCCTTTCTGTCCTCATTCCTCCTTTTCGTCAACAAAAATCTGAATGTCAGGTATTATCTCTCTCTCTTTAACTCTCTCTCTCTTCAAATCTACATAAATATCTGCTACAATTACAGGGGTTTGACTTGGAACTATAACCTTCTTGAGCTGCACAACAACCAACAGGTTTAGATTTAGATTTATATTTTGTTTTTGTGTTTTTTGGCAGCAATGCAATTTTATTTCCAATATGAACTGTCTAATATGCCTCTCCAACTCCTTCGCTCTCACTGTGTGTGTGATGTGTAAAATGCAAAAAATTTATGATCCCTGTGAACCTTATGTGGGTGAGTTGTCTTCATTGAATGTAATTAAAGCTGCATATGTTCAAATGTGGTATATCACCTTCAAATCGAATGTTCAAAAAATTTATGATTTCTGTGTACCTTATGTGGGTGATTTGTTATCTTTATTGTCTTTCTGGTTGTCATTGTTAAATGTGTTCTTAGTCCATCACTTTATTATTATTGCTGTATTGTCTTTCTGCTAGTCATTGTTAACAGAATCTATCTTATCCCAACCACCCCATGGTAATATGTAGGAAGTTAAAATCAGGTTTGTGTTTGTTTTGGATTTTTTCGACTATATACGGTATACCCACATGGATTAGGGATTTTGCAAGCAACTTTTTCCCATATTGATTATTCATAATTTTCCCCAAGTTGTGTAGTAGCTTGTAGAACCTTTTGGGAATAGGAGGAATAGGCAAGTTCATCCCTCTAAAGTTTTTTTTTTTTTTTTTTTTAAATGACCCGATTAACTTAACTGCATTTTCAGCAATGCAATTTTAATTTCAATATGAACTGTCTAATGTGCCTCTCCAACTCCTTCCTTCCCAGTCTGTGTAAACTGCAAATGAACCTTATGTGGGTGATTTAGCATTTGTATTTGTCCTTCCTGCCCACTCTGTGTAAACTCCTTCAAATCGAATGTTCAAAAACTTTATGATTTCTGTGAACCTTATGTGGGTGATTTGTCTTCATTGAATGTAGTTAAAGCTGCATGTCACAGAATTCAAATCTTGAGTTTGTGAGAGTGATCGAGGCAAATAAACAGTGCGTTTCTGGTCAAATGTGTTTTATCACCTTTGAGGCAACTGATGCTGGTGTGAAGAACACTTATCATGCTAAGGTTTATTGTTCTTTTCAAAAGGAATGGGCATCAGAGTTGTGTAGGCTCGCTCCTCAGAGACCTTCAAATGTGGTTGTTTAAGCAAGGTAACTACTTCGAGTCCTTAGTGTTTGAATTCGATTTAAATCCGTCAGCATTTATTTGAATTATATTTTGAGATGTCATTTATTGACATATATTATATTCCCGTCTTAGTATGTTTTGTCTTGTGCTTTGGGACTGTGAGTTGTGTTCCACATAAGCAAAATCATGAGATTATGACATAGTAGAATTAGGTCCTTTCTTTTCTATTTGTTTTTGCATTAATATATACTTTGATTGTGAATTATCTCATGATTTATCTCACGGAATTAAAATTTTTGATGGATAGGTTGTTCCTATTTCTACATGGTTTTCCAACTTAATTTCTGATTAGAGGTCCGTCTCCTCACATAGGGTTTTAACCTTTAATCTTAACCTTGCTTCATTAATTTGATCACAATTTTGAAAATGGGTTATCGAGGGTATACCATCAAATAACACATACCATGGAATCTGATTCAATCTCTTCAGTTTATCCACAGCTAAGGCAAAAGATATTCTTAATGCTAACCCTTGACATAAGTCAACAGAAATTGAAAATTGACTTTATTTCTCACATTTGTTTTAATTATAGTCACGCTACCATCATACATGTACTTTATCACGTCAATATATCTCTCTCTCCATGTTAAATTTATAGGTATCCTATCACAGGCTCTTTAAAGTCAGTAAAAATTATTTGATGATTTTTCTTCCTCTCTGTATTTTTTATAAGTTTTCTCAATCATTAAATAGCTTCCGATGACATTACTATTTCCTAATTCCTGTCATGGTAGTCTTGTTTCTGAGGAATTTTCTTCTGTTTATGTTAAATGTAGTTAATTTTGAGTTGTAAATCAGCTAATTAGGGAATACTGTAAAAATAATTGTGAAACCATATGGCAAATTGTAGGTATGTGCATAAGTAATGTTTGTATAGTCTATTATCTCTCTCTCTCTCTCTCTCTATATATATATATATATATATATATATATAAAACATTTAATTAAGCAGCATAGTTATATAAAGGGATCGTCAACAGGCTAGGAAGAACTATTCACAGAGTCTCTTTAGTGGCATCCTCACAAATTGGACTACACAGATTGTATTTGTGACCACGCATTGCTAATAAATATATATATATATACATTATTAATTAATGAAATTAAGTTTTGTTGTGTTGTGTATCGTAATTCCTAAACCTTGCTAACCTAACTTGTCATGTGTATATCAGCTAGTTATGGGAAGAATTAGAAGAGCTTAGAAAGAAGGCGAACGATACAAAACCTGAAGGAGAAGGAAAAAGCTTCCGACTCTGTTAGAAAGAGAAAGAGCCAGCTGGAGTATGAATTGAGTGAGATGGAGTAGGCACCTAGTGAGAGAAACAGTGATGTGAGAGAAACTAGCGAGAGAAAGATAGGTTCCGTTTCAAACCCTAGCAAGAGTGTCTCCAACGCACCTCCTTCCGATGACTGTTGTCCAATCTGTTTCGACACCTTCGTCGTTTCATTCCTTCCTGGGCTCAGTATGGCCACTGATACTCTGGTGAGATTTCGATACCAAAATTCTCAATCCTCTGTTTTGTTTTCTCCATTTTCTCGGCAACCAAACAAGCATGAGGATTTTCTTGCATTTGATTTTCTTCTAGAAGCTTTATAAAGATGGATTTGCATCTTTCTTGCTTGAGTTTATGTGGGTGATTTGTCTTCATTGAATGTAATTAAAGCTGCATGTCACAGAATTCAAATCTTGAGTTTGTGAGAGTGATCTAGGCAAACAGACAGTGCGTGTCTGGTCAAATGTGGTATATCACCTTTGAGGCAACTGATGCTGGTGTGAAGAACACTTATCAAGCTAAGGTTTATTGTTCTTTTCAAAAGGAATGGGCATTAGAGTTGTATAGGCTCGCTCCTCATAGACCTTCAAATGTGGTTGTTTAAGCAAGGTAACTACTTTGAGACCTTAGTGTTTGAATTCGATTAAAATCCTTCAGCATTTATTTGAATTATATTTTGAGATGTCATTTATTGACATGTATTATATTCCCGTCTTAGTATGTTTTGTCTTCTGCTTTGGGACTGTGAATCGTGTTCTACATGAACAAAATCACAAGATTATGACATAGTAGAATTAGGTCCTTTCTTTTCAATTTGTTTTTGCATTAATATATACTTTGATTGTGAATTATCTCATGATTTATCTCACGGAATTAAAATTTTTGATGGATACGGTGTTTCTATTTCTACATGGTTTTCCAATTTAATTCTCTCATGATTTTTTTTTTTAATTTTTTATCTGTCAACAACTCCTGTTGCACATTGGATGCAAGGGTTTCTGTTTTGCATTTCTTGTAAACTTTTGATTTCCGGGTGTGTGTTTTTTCCTTGTTTCTGTTTAGGTTCTTGTTGAACTTGTTATAGAAAATTAGTGAAAGCCCTTAGGTATATTGTATTACTTATGGTCTTCTACTTTGGAAACCAAGGAAGTATTACGAGGCCTATCAATACCTTCCTAGATCCTTGGTGTGATGGTAAGGATAAAATTTTGTGGGATTGTGGTTCTTTTTTATAAGGCTTGGGAATGCTGCCCTGTGAATAGGTGGATTGGCATCTCATCTGTGCTGGGGTAAGGTTAGGCCTGGATGGTCTGTAACTGCTGTATTTGTGATGCTTGATAGACTCTCCTCTACGGTTAATCTTCACAGGAGAAGGCTGCAAGATGCTCAAACTGTCATAAAGAGGTCACTTGTTTGTGCCTTGTCAGTTTGCTCATGCCTTCCGGACTTGGTTTGGTGAAGTCCTAAACTGGGATCTGGTGCAGTTTGCTTACTTTGCAGGGCTTGATGCAGGATGGTAGATGGGGTCTCGGAATGTTGGTAGAAGGGATAGGTTGTTGCTGATGTTTTTGTTTGGGCATGCTGAGATGCACCACTTTCACCCTGGTTCTTGCAATCCACAACTGTGCTATGGGCTTTGTGGGGCGAGAGAAATAAGAGATACCACCAAGGGTTGTGCTCATCGTTGAAGAGGCTGCTAAACCTACCTGTTACATGGTTGTAGATGCTGCTGGGCTAAATTTCCAAGATGTTGTAATTTTATTTTTATGTTTCCTGATCTGGTTTTTTTACTTGTATTGGAAATGGTATTACTCCATTTCATAATCTGGAGTGTTACGTATGTGGGGTATGCCCCCACACTGATCCACTCTACTCAAAGTCTACGCAATGAAAGCTTGATTTTGGATCTTGTTCTGATCTAATGTCTACTGTGGTGTCTGTGTATGCACTGGTAGCTAGTTTGAGATCAAAACTGCCTTTGTGAGTGTAAGAATGCCAGAGGAACAAAAAATGCAAATATTGTAAGAATTGAAAGAGAGATTAGTACAATTACATATAATAATAACAGAGATAACTAACTACAAAGAGAGATACAACTGTACGAAGAACATTCAAAAATCAATTATCAATTTACTTCCAACCCAAACAATACCAAATCAAACTTATTCAACTTCGCGTCCAACTTCCGATTGAAATAAACATTTCTAAGCTTGAGGAAGGTCTGCATGGTGAGTAAGCTATCCGAACCAGACTGGTGGCTCTTCCCGGCCACACGATCAACATTCAAAGCGTTGGCTACTCGTTCCAAACCACCAAACAAACCATCACAATATCTTAGAAACCCGAAATCATACCCAAGTCAATGGAGACCGTCTGAAAATCAGTCCAGACCAATCCAGCATCACAGCAAAGTCCCTGCCATGAATACCCTGTTGTTTGTTCTTCAAGAAATCGATACCTTGGCGCTTAAGCAAGTCGATAGAGTTCCTATTGTGATTATCAGAATCAATGTCAAAATCGCAGAAATTAAATTCCCAGATGTAGCTTGAATTTGTTCCCAAATCGGAAGCTTCCCTTGCGCATCTGAAAGAGTGAGCCCCAACTGGATCAGCTTCAAATGATACACATTTAACTTCATAAAATAGTAGTTTTGGATCGATCGATTTTGAAAGTATAGGTTTTGGTTGATATCTGGACGAACAATTGTTCCTGGAAATTCAGTGTCGATCGAGGCGGCGTAAGGGTATTCAATTCGGGCTTGATGAATCAAATAGAACTCTTCAACCATATTATTCTTCCAAACTTGTCTCACAATCACAGGTTTTTTAGGCAATTCCATACTTTGAATGATTGTATTCCCCAAATCTTGAAAGCAGAAAACAATGTAAGAAGACAGAGACTAACTACAGGAGAGGACGGATCTGGATGCACGAGAGGCGGTGAGATATATATATATATATATAGTAACAGGAGGCGGTAATATATGGAAAGTCTAGGGAAGAAAGGAGTAATAATATGGTAAGATCAATGGGATTAATTTGCCAATTTTTGGAAACTTATCCTTTCGAAAACTAAATTTTTTTTTTTTTGTGGAGTTTACTTCATATTTCTTCTCTTCGTTCGTAGCTTTTGTTTGTTCATATCTTGGAGGATAAGGCAAGACCACTTATGAATCTCCTGAGTGGGCTCTAAGTAATAGGGAAATGTCTTGGTTTCGGTTGGTTTGGGCAGGTAATATATATGTGACCTATAAGGAAAGTCTTATAGAAGTAGGACTAATTTGCCAATTTTGATAGGGTTTGAGTAGAGCCAACTAACGGTTGGGCCCATTTAGGATTGTTTTTCTACTTACTAAAAAGCATTTTCAATTTGGTGAGATGTGTTTGGTGAAAAAAATAAGTATAGCTAAGTTATAAAGGTTTGATAATAATAATAAAAAGATGCTTTCAGGTGAAACTACAAAACGTAGCTTAATCAAGATGAAACAAGTTTGGGATTAAAATATTTACAAGCATTGAACCCTTTAAACAAGAGTTTATAATATAATAAATAAGCTTAAAATTTAATTTAATTGCTCAAATATACAAATCACATAAGCCTCTTAGTTATGATACGAATGGATAGAAGCGGTTCGATTGATAAATTTTTGGCAGAGGCTCATATTTGAATTTTACTTTCTCACACTAGTGACTACAGTTGCACTAACATTGAACTTCTTTACTATTAAATTGAATAATGAGAAACAAATAATAACAGAGAAAGGAAATAAAACACCATGAGGAAGCATATAATATCAAATTTACCCTTCCAAAATTGAAAAAATATTTACAAAATACATCCCAACACAAGAAAATTCCACAACTACACGTAGAATCACACATGTACTAATCACTTGCTAACAAAAAAAACACTCAAAATGATAGTTTTCAAAGCCAAAAAAAAAAAAAAAAAAAAAAAAAAAAAAAAAAAAAAAAAATCATTTTGAGGACGATCTCTCATTCGTTTTTTTTTTTTCGGGGGCTCATACAGGAGAGGAAGATGCAAATGCAAATTTATTAGACAGTTCTGTTCGCGTTAATGGTGAAAAAATCTCAATCTGATGATCGAATTGCACATCGTGAACTAACGGATTCCGTGTTCTGCTCGGAGGAGATCCCAGGTAACACGACGGTGAGCACCCGGTGCATATTGATTCTTGTCCATCAATGGTCTGTATTAAACAATCATATCAAGTCACTTAGAATCATATATATATACATGGTCTCATTTAGGAACTGTTTTAACTAGGCTTGAAAATTGAAATCTAACCTTTTCAGCAATCATGTTGATAATCCCACTTCTTCCATCACTATTTGGCTGCCTAATGACAATACAAAATAAATCTTTCATTAACTATAATAGTTTTGACACATAAATTGCTTATGTACTAAAGTTTTTTTAGCTAAATTTGGTAGGCACAAAAAACCACATTTCTAATGACAATTTCAAGAACGTTTTAATAGAAGTAATAATAGAGAATTCGACATTCAGACAAATCCGACCAATTTGAGTGATGCCATTACGACTTCAGAGACATTAATGACACTATGATGATATTTACTTTCACTTAAATAAATAAGTCGGAGTTCAGACTTTAAATCATTATTCGTTTTATAGTTGCTACAATAATCAGAAGTGATAAACAATTTCATGAATGAGTTTTATAGGAGTATGATACAAAGTTTGATAGTTCGACAAATTCGATTAATTTAATTGATGTCATTATGATATCAGATATATTGTGTCATTATGATTCGCATGTAAACTTTTGGACTACAAATTATTATTTTCTTTACACTTATAGTTGATAATTCCACTTCTTCCATCACTATTTGGCTGTCTAATCACATTAGAACGGTAAATATTTCATTAACTATAAAAGTTTTTACACAACATTTTCGAGGAGGAGAATTTTTTTATTAAAAAAGGAGTAAATGCTAGAGAGTTGATAATTCTGCCAATTTGATTAATGTCATCCTGACTTCAAAGGTTATTAATTACATCACGATGACATTAACCTTTACTTATATAAATAATTCAGAGTTATCCGACATTCGGACTTTTGACTCCAAACTATTATTCTTTTTATAGTTGCTGCACAAGAATTCGAAGTGATGAAAGCAAACCTGTGTTTCCCACAGCGGATGAGGGGCTTGAGAAATTCAGGAATGGCGGACCCGAGTCGGCGAGGCTTGGGACAAACAGGCATGTTGTTGCCTCCAAAACCAAACTTGGTTGTGTCTGGACCTGCATCAAGAAGATTGCTTTTAACTGCAAAATGGTGCATCTCCTTTTTTACTATAAATGAAGAAGAAATAAACCAGAGTCACAGGTATAGAACTTGTGAGTTGTGTGACCAATATTTTCATTTGTTTCCTTATTTATTTATCACACATTTCACGTGCTAAAAAGAGTAAGATTAACCACAGAATTGTAGGAGAGAGAGAGAGAGAGCGAGAGATATGCAAATGGATAATTACTGAGCAGTGAAGCGGTGATTGAGTGAAGGCAAATATCATTTGCTTGGCCGAGAATAGTTATAGGATGAGCCTTGACCAGTTGGCTTTCATCTCCTGCTTTTCCTCTGTTTCTCAACTTTCTCATCTTGCCTATATATTAGTTGGTCCAAGTAAGTACAAACGAGCAAAATAATAATAATAGTAAGTGTATATATATATATTTCCCAATTACATAATTGTTTTTTTTTTTTTTTTTAATGATATTTTGTCACTTGTAACTACTTCACACACACAAACACATAAATACTCATATATTCAGAATGGCAATGGGAATGGGGTGGGTATGGCAGTTGGCACCGATTTGTCTAAACACGTATCCGTTCTGTTTAATTAATAAGAATCTCATAATCGTCCCATATTCAGGATGAATTGATGCCTCAAAGATTATACCTGTCCCGTTGAAAAATAAGTGAACTCGTCCGTGCCCACCCCGTTTATGCATTTTTTTTTTTTCATTGTGAACCTAAATCCAATAGCTATTTGGATAAAAATAAAATAAAAATAAAAAATCCCATTGAAGAGTAACCAAAAAAATAAAAAACCTATTGGTGATTAAGTTAGGGTACTTAATGGGGCGAGGAATAAGGTGTTAGGGTTTCATATATATAATTGGCAAATATAATAAAGAGAAAACACACACACACACATAACCAAAACGAGATTTACATGGTGTGGCAAATTGCCCAGTCCACGAGCGAAGAACAACTAACTTTATTTCAAAACTTGATTACACACTTTTTTTCCTTCTCACATTCTCAACTCAATTTTTTTCTCTCTACAATTTTCTATTTATAGAGTCTTCAAAACTCAATTCTTGTTAAACAAGTATTCCCTAATTTGTTTACAAGAAGTTAACCATATCAATCTTCAACTCTAAAATAGTAGGTACAACTTATTTCCCAAAACTTCACATTTCCCCAAGTCTTCTAGCTTCCAAAACTGATTAGGAAATTGTTTCTTGCAGCTTTCTTATTATTCACTGTCTAGGGTTGCACTTTGACAGTAGCCAAAGCCAAAAAAATGATCGCCACACTTGGAACTGGTTACTGAACCGAATTGCCAAAGGTAAATATTGAAATTTGCAAATTCGAACCTTCCAAAGTAATCTTGGTAAAAAACATATATACATTCCACGTAACCAAGGCTATGTCTTCACGTGCTCTTCCATTGCTCCACTTCGAGTAAGGAATATCTCTTTATAGTTTCACCTTAATTGAAGATCTCTCCACGACGGGTTATTACTATTATTATTATTATTTTCTTAGTTGGTACTCACACACACGTCTCCATTGAGGCTCGAACATCTGACCTTTCTTTGAGAAGTTGGGTCCTAATACCATTAGGCCACTGGCCTATTGGTATGAGTTATTATTTTTCCCTCATACTTGCCCTTACGATACATAAATGATTCCTATACCCTTCTCATTAGTGGGGGACGGAGCGGGACTCTAGCGAGGAGGGACAAATTGCCGTCCCTGTATATTAGTTCAAGAAATTATTTGTACCCTATAAGAGTCGAACCTTAGACTTGATGTATACTAAGTTACCAACCTTAGACCTAATGTTCAGAACATTATACCTAAATAGCCGAAAAAAAAAAAAAAAAAAATGCTCAAATTTCGTAACATAGTATGAAATTTAAGATCACATAGTATTTTATAACCTACAAATAGGGATTACCTCAGTAGCTAATTGAGAGCGTTTGATAGTTTTTTCTTTGTGCTAAAAAAACCAATGGTAATAAATTTCAGAACATTATACCAAAAAAAAAAAAAAAATTTATAATTTAACATTAAAATAATAATCATATTGTAATTAAAACATTATAATGATAATGTAATTAAAATTGATAAAAGAATAGATTTTTAAGGATAATCAAACTTATTCCGTTTGATTCAGAGGTCTGGAAAATAAATGCAAGAAACAAGTACTAGTCTGATTGTTTGAAAAAGCAAAAACGAAACACTGAACTTCAGTAACTGGTATAAATAAATAAATAAAGGAGAATGAGAAGGATTACCATTCCTGCTAATAGAGAACAATTGACGCATGAGAGGAATCTTGAGAGCGAGAGAGAAAAAAAAAAGTTGATGGGTAGAGGAAATATATATAATTAAAAAAAAAAAAAAGAGGAAAGAAAGAATTAAAAAGGAAAGAGTTAAAAAGGGAATATAATTAAAACTGTTGTAAAAAAATAATAGACTTTGGTTAATCAAATTTTTTACCCTTTTCGTCCAAGGTACGATAGCTGTTATGTATGTCGTCAATAGTTTTTATTTTTTTAATTTATAAGAACAATCGAACTGATTCTGTTTGATTTTGAGGTATGAAAAATAAATACAACAAAAAGTACCGCTGTATGATAGTTTGAGAAAGCAAAGACGAAACACTGAAGTTTAAACAGTTGTACTAAACAGAATAATAGGACGTATTCAAAAGAAAATAGAATTAGAAATAAAGTAACTTACTTAAAGAAGACTTAGAAATAGGTTAGAATTAGAAAAAGGTGAATTATTTTTATTTTGAAATATATATATATATATATATATTTTTTTTTTTTGAACAAAAATATTAAGGATTAGTATTTAGCAAACATGAAAGCAACTCAATCACTCGCGTGATAAGGTACTTTGCACAAATTTCAAACTCAAGTGCATTGATTTTTATATTAAGTGGATCCCATTGTAATTGGCACCCAAAATGGGCAAGGAGTTCCATTTTCTTGAGTGCCAAGTAACAGCACTCAATGTAGTTATAATAATTACACTTACCTCTTTAGTAAATTGCATAAATAATAAAAGTTTCTACTCTTTAAATACAATAACACTGATTTTAAAAACTTGAAAAGTTATTTTGTCCATATATTAAAGAATGATACTTACAATGAATATAATAGTGGTTTAACAATTTTGGATTAAAGCCAACATTTAAAGGGGAAGACAAAATTATTTTTATTTAGAAATATATATATATATTTTTATTTAGAAATATATATATATATATATATATATATATTTTTTTTTTTTGAACAAAAATATTAAGGATTAGTATTTAGCAAACATGAAAGCAACTCAATCACTCGCGTGATAAGGTACTTTGCACAAATTTCAAACTCAAGTGCATTGATTTTTATATTAAGTGGATCCCATTGTAATTGGCACCCAAAATGGGCAAGGAGTCCCATTTTCTTGAGTGCCGATTTTTATATTAAGTGGATCCCATTGTAATTGGCACCCAAAATGGGCAAGGAGTTCCATTTTCTTGAGTGCCAAGTAACAGCACTCAATGTAGTTATAATAATTACACTAACCTCTTTAGTAAATTGCATAAATAATAAAAGTTTCTACTCTTTAAATACAATAACACTGATTTTAAAAACTTGAAAAGTTATTTTGTCCATATATTAAAGAATGATACTTACAATGAATATAATAGTGGTTTAACAATTTTGGATTAAAGCCAACATTTAAAGGGGAAGACAAAATTATTTTTGAAACCGTAAAGAAAGTCGATGTTATTTTACAATATAATTTGTACTGGTGTCTTAAAAGTTAAAACAGGGTATTGTTGTGGACCTTGTTGGTTGCATGCAGTTATGCCTTTTAATCACAAATGTTGTAATAAATAGGAGATATAACTACTGTTCATGCAGTTCGAGCAACCAAACTTGTCTCTCTCTCTCTCTCTCTCTCTCTCATAATAAATAAATAAAAACCTTATTGGCAATTGATTCTATGTTGGCGCCAATAACTTTTAATCCTATTTGAGGTCAATTCTAGCCACAAATGCTTATATCAAATAAACAAGTCAAAGACCTATGTTTATTTTGGAAATGATATATGGCAATGAGGTAATCTATTCATTATTAAAGTGGGTTAGTGAGTAGTATGTATTTTTTGTTAAAAAATTAAAAAAAAAAAAAAAAATCATTATTAAAGTGAGTGAGTGAGTAGTATGGGTTTTTTTTTTGTCATATATATATATATATATAATAAAACAAATGCATTAAAATCACTGGATCTGAATCCAGATTTCTATAATCGAACTAATCAAATTAAAATAAATTATCTAGCTTGAATACCGTCTTCAGAATATGTGTTACATATGTTAAAGAGGTAATCTACTTCTATTGGCTCAACTAAATGGAGGTAAATCAATGATTAATAACCATTTTTATTTTAGACTCAATGAGCACATTGTGGAGCATGTACTTTTTTCATAAATGCATGAGTTTTCAAGAAGTTCGAATGCAGATAAGTACATTGTTTAGTTAAGTACATTGTTTAGTTAGGAATGAATGCGAATCCAGAAATACAAATCAAATAAGGAAAAAGATATGATGAAAGAATATCAGAAAGATATATATATATATATATATATATATATATATATATATATATATATATATTACCACTAGATGGAAGAATATCAGAAAGATATGAATATATATCCAAGAATAGATTTTAGTTTAAAGGCCAACCTGAACAGTAATACAACACGAGAACTAAGTGGAAGTGTGTTAGAGCTCACACAATCACATCACAAATGATCTGTATCCCATTCAAATTTGGGTTGTGAGTAAACCTCATAATCTATGGGTCCTACTATAACATTGTCAACAGTCTGTATGCCTTCCAACAGAGCCGGTTGAAAGCTATCATTATCCGAAGGCAACAGTTTATACATTACTAACACACCAAGGGTGAATATAGCTTGCAGCTTTGTGGAGTCTCCTTGGACCGAAAAGAACAAGAGCATTGAGAGGAGGAACAAATCCACACAGAACCGCATGATACACAATACAGTATCCATCAACCTCCCATCGTTGCCAGAAGGAAAACCCCGGACTCTGTATACGAATAGAAAGTTGTACTTATCGACCACATACCTATACCCATAATAAATTGCACCAAAAGGAACCACAATAGGAGCAAATGAAGAATATATCATGGTCAGCGCAAATATTGTCAGATTGAATGCATAATATTGTGCGAAATCAAATGTCTGCTTTGGCACAGGTGAGGTTCGGCTAATTGGGTAGTCAGAGAGATCATGTCCCGGTAAATCAATTCCACTAGTTATGGAGCTATGTGATGTTCCATTATTGCTGACCATCGTGTCAAATGCTCCTTCAGGCATCAGAGGTCTCTGCAGGCTATCTATATCCTGATTTTCCAATGGGTACTCCTCACCTTGTTCTGGTACCAGCTGAAGCATGTCATTCTTCCGAAACTTCTGAAGCTTCTTTTTTATCCAAGGTATTGGAGCCAATAGATCGTACGATATTCCCAAGAAAGTGCTTGTGATTAGAAATGCAAGAGAAGAGAGACATGACCGTGAAAGGAATGATGCACTCATGTACTGCTCAATTTTTTTGCAATCTTCTCCATCCAAATAACAACGACCCATCCTTAAGAGTGTACCCTCTAGTGATGATTCAACAAGAGCCCTCAGAAGAATTAGATTTACTAGAAAGAAGCAAACCATCTTCAAAAGTGCAGCTCTTTGCTCCCCAGACACAGTAAGATGCCGCTCAAATTTGGAGAGATAAGAAAGAGCTGATGGGACCACTATATACATGCTCACAAAAATAAGAACATTGGGCAAGAACTGAAAAATTATGGTCGCAAACCAGCTTGAGCTTTGCACCCAAGCCAACCACATCTGAGCATTATCCATTGCTTCCGCATTGATAATCCGACCAGCACTCTTGATGGCACTGATTGCAGCAAGAGGAGAACTGCAGAACAAAAGCATCAACAGCAGGCATGTGTTGACAAACACCCTGCGGAGTTTCAGTGAGAGTTTTGTAGAGCCCAGATGATTCCAGTATATGTCAGTTGCCAGAGGAGCTCTCTCAACCTTCCAATGGTTCCTTTGTAGTTGCAGCTCCATGATTGAAAAGAACTTGCCAATCCGCCTCTTCTTCTCATTACGGAAATCCTGAACAGCCTTATTAGCTGTGTATATATCCTTAAATACCACAAATGCAACTCCAGCACCCCGTGCACGACCTTCTTTGTAAGCTGCCATTTCAGTCTCTAGATCAGCTCTCCTTTCTTGCAATTTTCTTAACCTTTCTTCATCTGTGAAACCCAATTCACTGACAATCTGTCCCCACATTTCCTTCACTCTCCTCCACAAGTAAAGCACCCGACCCCATAATCCCCCCAAAGAATCACCTCCATCTTCTTCATCACAACCATCATACAATGAAATCCGTAATTCAATTCTCGAAACCAACCGAGTAATATCTTCCCTAACCTTCACCAATTCAGAAACTAAATCATCCAACGCGCACAAATCCATGGGCACGACGACCCTATAAACCTTCCCCGGATACTTATGTTGAATATACTCCACTAAGGGAGTCGCATCGAACCCTAAAGTTTTTGGTATCCCCTGCACCATTATAGTAAAAATGGCAGTTGAATTGGCACTAGGGTCACTTAGATTTCCATAACCATCTCTAAACCTAGTAATTCTCAACCGTTGTTCAATTGAATTTATGCCAAAGTGTACCAAAACAACAACAACAATAACAAACACAAAGTGAATCCAGAGTAAAGGCGAACCTTTTGGAATATGATTCACTGTCGTCTTCGAAAACTGGTCGTCCATCACAGCGCTTCCCGCATAAAGATTTAGAGGAAGCATCACAAATATAGAGAGAACGCCGATAGCTAAGAGGACGGCACAGCTGCCTCCCTCGATGAGGAGGAATTGAGCCGCGTCGGCACCGCAGTGGCGCGCAATCTCGCGGCTGGTGGCGTGCCACACGGCGAGGAGCTTCGCGGCAATGGCGGTGGGGCCGGGCATGCGACGGTGGTCGCTGCGGAGCTTGACGAAGATGAAGATGAGGACGCAAGTGAGGAGACCGATTGCGGAGATGTTGAGCAGGTACTGTATGTTTCCGTACCATGCCGTGTCGAAACCGCCATCGTCGGGGTCGCTGGACGGAGAAGGCGGAGGAGAAAAAATGTAATTCACAACAATTGACGGTGAAGGTGACATGATCGACTGTGATTGGGATGTGTCCATGAGATCCTGCAACCTAGGGTTTATCTACCTCATGTTTAGGGTACCTATGTTGTGAATTGAGGTACCTGGAATCGAAGAAAACCAAAATTTCTGTTCATCTAGGGTTAGGGTTAGGGTTTAGCAAAAAATTCGATTGAATTTCGCATACATAGAGAGAGAGAGTTTTAGGATCAAACTCGTCAGAGATACTCAGTTGTAATGTGATGGTACAAGTAAATTAGTAATACAACTAATTATACTCTATTATGAATTGTAAATTGTAGTACTAGTAATTAAAAAAAAAAAAAAAAAAAAAAACATGGACTTTGGAACATGTAGGCCCAACAGCATTAGTAGTTCAGCCTATGACGGTTAATACAATGATGGACGAAGAGATACTATGGGCCGGGCCTTTATATACGTACCAGTATGGACCTTTTGGAGACTTGAACTTAAGGTCTGAAAAGGGTGAAATGTATGCTATTACTAAATCTGTTTTTGTTTTTCAACCCGTGATCTTCGTGTCACAATGGAGTATTGGCGTTGCCCAAGTCTTGGACTAAAAGCAAACCTGCAAAATGTATCAATCAATGTTCCTTTTATATTTCAAATAAAATATCAATTATGTCCTTAATCTAGTAAAGTTTACACACATGCAACAAATATGTTCATGAATGGCAATAACTATGAGACTTAATTTTGCATTGTTGTTTATTTATATGTGATACACAATTTTTTTGTGTTCACAATAGTTATTGTAAAGACGATATAGAACAAAACATTGATTAAATGAAGTTTGACAAAAATGCTTAAATATTCACTTTAGTTTGACATCTTCAACATTCTGATTTTGATTAAATTATTTGGATAGGTGCAGAACATTGAAACTTTCTTCAAATAGAACAAGATGGTGCATTTCAGTAGTTAGGATTAAAAAAAATTCATAACAATGTGATTTACTTACTCATAGGTCAATCGCTTTTAAAGATTTTGATATAGAGTGGACAATTCAATAATACAAATAATAATAAAAAAAAAACAATCCACATCAATCATCTCTTTACAATTCATAAGAAAAAGAAACACAATTGATCAACGAGGTATGGTGAAATCTTCATCCAAGCTGATTCTGTGTTCCTCACTTATTCCTCTCAAGTAGTTGTTATCAATGTCAGTGCTTACACTATTAGCCTCTAGCTCTAGGCACCTCAACTTGTGCTCTGAAAAGAGATGGTGTCCATCTCCACATGAAATCTTTGAAGTCCGACGCCATCTATACTCACAGAGTTCTGCGAATAATCAAGATCCATTGATCTCCCAAAACTCCCATGATCCGTTGATCGATGAGATCCCCTCGAAGGGTGTCCGTGGATGTTGTCTGCTGAATGCAGGGCTGCCTCTAGTTCTTGCCACACTTGAGTCATGGTAGGCCGCTCTTTGGGCACTTTCACCACGCATCTTAGACCGAGTTCTCCCATCTTCAGCATCATTCCCATGTTGCAAGGCTCTAATAGAAGATTAGCATCTATGATGTCTTCGACACTGCCACGCTCCAAGCTAGGCCTTGCCTGCATTTTAACAAAGACATTATCGAAGGAACTTATTTAGGTGATGTTATCCACTGATGTGCCAAAATGTGGCCTATTTTCACTTACCCAATCAATGATATGATATTTAGAACGATTTCTAGTCGTATCAACTGCAGGCCGAGCAGCAACAAGTTGCAGAAGTATGACTCCAAAGCTGTACACGTCACTAAATGGACTCAAATGGAAGCTTGAACAATAGGCAGGGTCAAGGTACCCTGGTGTTCCTTTGATCTGGCTGCTGACATGTGATTGATCCCCAATGGGACCTAATTTTACTAGCCCAAAATCTGAAACCTTGGCCTCGAACCCCTCTCCTACCAAGATGTTGCTTGGTTTTATATCCCTGTGGATTATGCTCGGTTTGATCTCTTCGTGCAGATGAGCTATGCCTGTAAAAAATTCATTCTAGTATCACTTAGACAGTCGTTTGATTGGATTTATTAGGCCATGGTGATTACATGAGAGAAATATACCTTTAGCTGCTCCAATAGCTATTTTTACTCTCTGCCTCCAAGTTAAGCTCCTTCTTCCCCTTCCTATGCAATCACTATTAGAAAATTGGACAAACCATAATTCATTGAGGAGGGTTAAGAAGTTGAAACTTACCGGTAATGTATTCAAGTAGTGAACCATTTGATACGTATTCATATACTAGTATTTTTGCCCCTTTTGGACCTGTTTGAAGAAAAATCAAGCCAAATGATTAAGGATATAATTTGCTGTTATCTTATGCACAAAACTAGTGTAGGTCATATACTAAGATGGTTGAAATGATGTATTTACAAAGATGGTCTTCATATAGAATTTTTTTTTTAATACTATTTCCATTGCTGTCAATGTTTCCCATCATTAGTATACATGTAATCAAGTTCTAAATTTTTGGTTATCTCCATACCTGATTCTTCACAGAATCCCACCAAACCGACAAGGTTTCTGTGCTTTACTTTTGAAAGTAACCTCACCTCTGAACCAAGAAAATCACAGTAAAATCAAATATATATTTAGCTTGTTTTGAAAAAAAGAAAAGAAAGAAAGAAGAAAGAAAAAAGAAAAGAAAAGATATTTTGTTATACCTATTGGCTAGTGCAGAAATGTAACTTATTGAGGCTTACCATTTCTGAATTCTTCAGTGCTCGTGTATGAATCAGCGCGGGCCTTCTTGATTGCTATAGTTCCTTCCCCCTCCAATGTTCCTCTGTAGACATTTCCAAATGCACCAGAGCCTACCAAGCAATCTTGGCTGAAGTTGTTGGTGGCCTTCTCTAGTTCTACCAACTGGAATCGTCTCAAAGATATTTTTTCAGCATCCAAATTTCCTAATTTTTTTTCCCCATCAAAATTGCTCAGTTCTTGAAGATAAAGAATATAAAGAACTACATATATATTTAACATTTATTTCTAAGGTCATGGTTCAGTCTACTGCCTTCATGCCAACTCAACACTACTGAATTAATTCCTAACAATGTCTGATATCAGTGGAAAAAAGTTGGATTTTTTTTGCAACTTCGGGTGTTGAAAGAGGTATTTAGTCGGAGACTTTGAATTACAATTCATTTCACATTCACTATATTTTATTCTTTTGCACAATGAAAATTAGGTTTTTTTACAAAGATCATTTCAAATGCCCATTTAAAGTATTCCTCCCATAAGTGTCGAGAGACTAACCTTTTCGCTTCCAGCGTCGCCTGCATTTTGCAAAGAGCTTCCTTTTGATGCAAAAAAATAAGAAGGCACCAACAAGCACAGTTAATATGCCAATAATAAATCCTCCCCATAACTTTTTTTTGGTAAGAATTGAACTATTTTGATCTGGTAACGACTGAGGAGCTAACCCCGGTGAAACTCCTTCCATAGGGTGTCTGTTTGCAACTTAAAATTGCCCAAGCAATCGAAATGACATGCTTAAATCAATCACACAGTACTTCATCTCATTCTCGGTTGCGCTATAACCATCAGCCCTAGCCTTTTAACACATTCTCCTATGCATGAAGTTGTTCGACTGCAGAGAAGACGAGGAGGTGAGAAGGATATAGTCAGTGATGTATGTCAAGCCATAAGATATGTCGCCGGCTCTCTCTCTCTCTCTCTCTCTCTCTCTCTCTCTCTATATATATATATATATATATTCATATGGAATCCTCTCCATAATCTGTGACTTAGTCTTCACTCTTTGGGCGGCATATATATCCAAAGAGACATGTAAACATGAATTATGCATATAAACTAATATCTGCATCTGCTCAGCATAAAAAAGATAAAAAGGTTTGGTTGATTCTACAAATGTTTTTACATTAAAAAAAAAATGCATTAATTCCTAACAAATAGAACATAGGTCTTCCACATATGAGGTCAAAACATCATGAACAACAAAAAAAAGTGAGAACCAGCAAGTTCAGTTACAATTATTCCAAAATTCCACAGACCATGTCAATGTCATATATATGACATACCACAAAGGACCACCTACTGAAAGTTACCTCATCAATCAGTAATTTAATGTATTCATGCTAAGATAATGATTAATCCCGATAAGCGACAACATAGTATTCCAAAAATGTAGATATCAAGATGTTGAGCTCTATAGTTGATATTTTAATGGGACTAAATGTTCACCATTCTGATAAAATATAGCAAATTGGCCAAGTCATGGCCGATATGAATCATATTACATGCTCTCCAACTTGTTTCACTTTATATCAACTTAATTGTTTTTCAATTTAGACAATGAACTTCTGTAGCTTAATTTTGGCTCCATTAGTCATGGATTGTCGTGGTATGGAAGATTCCCAGGGATTAAGGATTGAAGTGGTCTTATCACTCATATCTTAACACGAACATTTTATGTATGACACTATGTTTGTCTGCTAAATTCGTGTTTCATGAGGAAATTATCACAATATGTTATGGCATGGGTTAGGATCTCTCTTCTAATAAGGTCAAGTAGTGCTAAATCTGCATATAGCACAGCAAAGTTATCTGAACCAGAGATGCACCAAAACACAGACCAACTGCAGAAGATTATAGGGTTAAGTATATAAAACACCCTAAGGTTTACTTTTTGTGCAAATAACAACCCTGTTATTTATTTTGGGTATCCAAGTCCGTTAAAAATAAATAAATATTGCAAACAAGGGCTTATCTGCACTGAACCGGTAGAAAAGTATGATTACAAAGCTATGTGTGTGCCACATGACTAATTAATGGTACTAAATACTAGGGGTGCATAAAAGAACCGGAACCGTGGGAACTGGAACCGTTTTTTCCGGTTCTCACGGTTCCGGAACCGTGAATGTACGGTTCCGGTTCCAACTGGTAGGAACCGAAACCGTATGTGTGTGTGTATATATATATATATTTAATTAGTTTTCCTACTTTCGTTCTCAGATCTGAACCCCTCTCTCTCTCTCTCTCTCTCTCTCTCTGCAACTACAAAATCTACAAGAATCATCTCTCTATCTGCAACTACAAAATATACAAGAATCAGAAGTTCGAAACCCATATATTTCAGTTTATGTATACAAAGCACAAATCCTACCTTTCGTTCTCAGATCTGAACTTCTCTCTCTCTCTCTGTGCAACTACAAAATGTACAAGAATCATCTCTCTCTCTGCAACTACAAAATATACCAGAATTAGAAGTTCGAAACCCATATATTTCAGTTTATGTATCTGTACTGATGCAATCTTATGTCCCATTTACTTGGTTCTATATCGGCATATAATTTCAGATTGTCCAAAAAATCAGAACACATATCTTTCAGTTTCCATCGCTGCTTGCCCCTCTTTCTCTCTCTGCAATTGTAAACTACAAAATCTACAAGAATCAGAAGTTCAAAACCCATATATTTCAGATCTGTTTAGTGTTTGCAAGATCAAAAGTTCAAAACCCATATCGGCATATCATTTCAGATTGTTCAAAAACATAAAACCCATTTTTTCAGTTCCCATGATCCCATCGCTGCTGTTCCAGTTCGGGTTCGCAAGTTTCAGCCGGTTCTCCTGGAACCGTAGAAAACAGTTCGGTTCCGGTTCGATTCTAATCTGGTTCCGGTTTCGATTTCATTTTTTAAAAATCGTTGTGAACTGTTCCAGTCAAAACCGGAACCATTTGCACCCTTACTAAATACTTAAAACTGAATGGTAGCTGGTTTTGAGAAAGGCACTTTAATATTTTCATTGCTTCATTAATGGCCGAATGATGTGATGCTCTTGTTCGTCCAAAAAATGAACGCTAGGGGATTTTTAGAACCTACAGCGGATTAGATGCCCTATATAATATGCATACTAAAAGGTGTTTTTTATTCCCAACCCAACATTATATGAAAAAATCAAGAATCAATCTATAGATTGGGTTCAAGTTGTATCAATTCCAACTATGTACAGTAAGATTTGATCCTGCTAAAGCTGCACTGATGCAGAAAGAAAACGAAGCATCAAGTCCTAGCATTTAATTAGTTAAACAATTTTTATTTATTTATTATTTTTTTTAGAGATAAGATTACACAAGTGGTCCTAAATTATAATGCACATTTAATTTGGAAGCTTCAAAGTACTGTTTATTGTTGATTCATCGACAGTTGAAGTAATGTCTTGATCATTTGATTGTCTAGTTATATTGTATACAATGGCAATTAATATTGGATTTTTTTTTTTTTTTTTTTTTTCAGTGTGTATTAGATTAGATGCAATATTTCAAGGAAGAATGGGCATTGGTGGCTATAAATATTATTGGCCATTTTTCTGGATGCACGTCATCTCAATAACTTTTTCTATCTTGACTTGCCAATTATTGGAGCAAGACAACAACAGTGATATATATTAAATCACTTATGGTGAGCCTGTAATATATTCTATGAAATATAAAACACATTTTGATTAATACACCATGTTTGGTGTCATCCACTACAGGAACACTAGAGGGTGCTTTTAAGGAATGACTTGCAATAGCGTCCAACCAAATTAATGGTACAAATGTTCGCATGATCACCAAAAGCAAATAGATTTATTCCTTTTGTACACATCCTGCAAGCATGTGCTTTCCCTCTATTTGAATAATATCCTGTTTGAACATCTTCAAATTCAAAAATTCTTCCTATATCCTCCTGTACTTGTACGACAAAAATGATAAATTTACATGCAGCCACAACACGAACGCAAAAAATTTCCTTCACATGAGGGGATTGAGATTCATATTAAAAAGCATGATAAGACGGTTAGGTCTTTCTGAAATCTTTCGCTCGTATCTTTCACATTTTACAAATCACAATCCTCGATCCACTTCTTGCAGCATTAAAAACACCCTGGTTAGTACGAGCCAGTCCTGTCGAATTTACACCATTGTTGAAGTGTGACTAAAAAGATCAAGCCCGTCTATACTCTATGGACATTGTGTTGTGGGTCTCAGTTGAAATCTACCTGTCCTTCTCTAGCTTACTCGTCTGACATATTTAAAACTGAGTTACAAACCATGCCCTATCATTTACACACTCCTTCAATGCAATCCACCACCCACCTCTGCGTGTGCATGATGTGGTCCCAGACTTCATAATTACCGGTAGTTATCTACAATTTACATTGTCTAGGGGGAGAAGACACTGGCCCTTATAAGGGGATGCTTCCTACTTGTGTAGATATGTTGTAGAGTCGAGAGCGCATAAAGGGTGCAAAACGAACAAGAGAGCGGACAGATCTTACATATGATATCAAAGCCGATTTGTGCATACAGACAATATCCACACAACGTTATTGTAGAGCCATTAGCGCATAGAGGGTGCAAAACGAACAAGAGAGTGGACAGATCTTGACATATGATATCAATTTGTGCATACAGACAATATCCACACAACGTTGTTGTAGAGCCGTTAGCACATAAAGGGTGCAAAACGAACAAGAGAGTGGATAGATCTTAATGTATGATATCAAAGCCGATTTGTGCATACAGACAATATCCACACAATGTTGGAGCAGGTCTTGACAGGGGGTGGAAGTTTGAAGGACCCTCTCTCAGGGCCCCCATAAAGGAACTATTTTGGTCACAACACACAGTCTATTTAGACAAAACATGGAAAGAAATCCCAGCAAACCCATTGTCAACATTTTGATCACTAAAAGAAGACAGACACAATGAAACATATTATATTCCGATGCAATGAAGAGTTGAAGACAGCTTAATGGTTGGACATGTAGAAGCATGATGCCTTGTGGCTGCAGAGTACCTCTCAACTTAATCACCTCCGAGTCCTATTGGAGCCTAGAAGCAGATTTTCAGCAACCAAAAAACACTTTGGTTTTAAATTGAACTGGTTTCTGAAATACTGATGTAAACTCGATGCTCGTTTGAAAGCCATTAAGACATATACTAGAAGCGGATTCCAACTGACAAAAAAGCAGTTCAGCAGATGGTGACCTAATTATCTTGCTTAGAGGAAGCGACTAAACCTACTTTGGGCATTGTTTCTATCACAAAAATGAAAAAGACTAAACCTAATTTGGACATTGTTTCTATCACAAAAATGACTAAACCTAATTTGGACATTGCTTCCATCACAAAAATGAAAAAAAGACTAAACCTAATTTGGACCTAATCAAAAAATAGAGAAAAAAGAAAAAGACTAAACCTAATTTGCACCTTATCCTAAAAAATAGAAAGAAAAAAAACTAGACCCAATTTGGATCAATCTGTTCACATCAAAAAGTAAGGGAGAAAAGGCATGGTTACCCAATTCGATCTTCCTGCATAGATATTCTAATAACAATCAGATAATGGAGCACCTTTACGGAAACTACGCCCTCCCTTGTCAGAACTGCAAAGCATATAGGATCATGCTCAAGGGTGGTAGCTTCATTCTACATAAGAAGGGCAAAACAACATTTCAACAAAATTGGAAATTATAGACCAAGAGAAAAACTGAAAGAAATAAAAGTTGGACCCAAACAAGAACTATTATATCTCAAAAATTTTATACAACATGCTGATCGAGTACAATGATCCAGCTGACAATATAATTACATAAGGCCGTCCCGGAAATTAGTATAATTGAGAGTTTAAAAGAAAAATACACAGATCCTAAAGGTTAATACTAACAAGGAATAGATGAACCCATAGCGTCCTGTAAATTACAGAAAACAAAAATTACAGATCTCTTCTGCATAATGGGCACGAACCATGCCTCACCAGCCACTTATCAATGCAAGGTAGGTGAAACATGTGATGACAGTGGGGCAGACTTCTAACAGTCTCTCCGAGCTGAAAGTCCTGAATATGTAACAAACAACATGTGGATTAGCCGAGTATCTTCATAACTACTTAACCTCATACACGCCTAAAAAATAAAGAATGATTAGTCACAAGAAAAATTATGCCAGTACCTGCAGGCACACTGAACAAGAGACTCTCTCCCCAGAAGCATCTACATTGTTACTGCTAGTGACTTTTATCTTCGGGATCTTCTCAACTGAATCACCGGGCAAACCCTTAGCGCCCCCAGTATCAAAGATATTCGGGATGTCCTCAAAGCTTGATTCAACAGCACCCATCTGATTAAACACATTGAAATTGTAAGCAAATGAAAGGGGGATGTTGGCCTTGCTTACTTTTTTTTCTTTGAGAAGTGTTGGCCTTGCTTACTAAGCTTTAAACAGCCGGTAATTGTGTTACAAAATACCTGACTCTGAACTGCACTTAGTATGGCCGGACCAATCCGCTCACGAACAAGTCTACCACTTAGAAGGCTTGCAATAACATCAATCTGGACATTTTTAAAAGATATCATTAATGGGGTCAAAAGTATTACAAAGCTGAGTGAAGCTTGAATATCAAAACCACTGTTGAGTTTTTTTTTTCTCTCTTTCTCCAAAAATCAAGATTAATTAACTAAGAAACGAAAATCCAAACGTAGAATGAATTAGATGGGAAGCTAAATTGCTCACCAAGTAGAGGAGACACCCGATTCCAGATTCATCCGACTGCCAGAGGACAAGCGAAGATTCGAAAACCTCAATGGAGAAGACAGCTCCAGAGATGGCTCCAACTGCAGCCCCTCGAATGAACCCACTCTCTGTCTCTTGACCAATCAAAGCTCCAGTCATGGCTCCTAATAAAGTACCCACTGCACCAACAAGGCCAATTCCTTCATTAGTTTCAATTTCAAGAAAAAAACTTATGCTTCCTTGGTAATGCAGTCAATATCTGAAATTTCAAGCTCTAAGGTATCAATTACAGGGAAAAGAGAAAAGCTAAGGTATTAAATAAGACCTCCCCGATTCTATACGTAATTGAACAACAAATTGACGATTAATACCCAAACCCTTCGTTCATATGAAAACTCCCCCTGTCACCATAGTTCAAATCCAATAAAATTATGATTTATGCCCTTAAATATTAGAACCTCAGAAAAATTATTTATTTTCTTAAAAGATCCGAATATAATATTACAATTTCAACATCACGAATCACCAAACCCCAATATACACACACATATATCACAATACCCAACCCAGTTCCAAATTTAGCAAACCCATTCACAGAAACAGAGACATATCAAGAATCAATTGGCATTTGATCAAGAAAGCCACAGAATTCACCACAAAACTCATACAAAAGAAGGGGCAAAGGAAAAAAAAAAAAAGAATAATTCGAACCAGAAATTGAAGGAATTAAAAAAAGATACGCACCTAATGCGAAGAAGAAAGTGAATATGGCAGAGAATATGTTCCCAATAATGGCCGAAACCGCAAAGCAGAAAAAGTCTTTAACCTTATCGACGAAATTCCCAAATGAAAATGAAGATGAAGATGAAGATGAAGGCAAAGTATGAGATGGGTATGCATAAAACTCCATTGATTATTACACAAAACTCAGAGACCCTCTCTGATTTCTGATCCAAAGATGGGGTTAGCTTCAACAACACAAACGTACACGCATAATAAACACGTATGCCTATATACACAAACACAGACACACACACAAATAAAAGAAGGGCAGGATTATATGTACGTTTAGTCGTTAAGAGAAGGTGAAAAGAAACCACATAACCCAACTCACATTTATAGCTCTCCTCTTTCTCACAGAAAATTTAAGCTCTCATCAAATTCTCAATAGAGTTGAATAATGGGTTTATTTTCAAAGACATGAGATGGGAGAGAAAAGGACGCTTCTATTGACAAATTGGAAGCTCTAGGTCGTCCACAAATGATCACGCAGAGTTTCAATTTCCTATCACTCGTTTTCTCCTAGAGAAAAATAACACACGCATATGTGAATATATATAAACACGTATGCTATATAGATATATATATATATATATATGTGTGTGTGTGTGTGTGTGTGTGGGTTGATCGTATGTTCTTTTTTGGCACAGGCACAGAGATATTTTTCTTTGGTGGACCTAATCTAATTCCAAATTGATTGCATACAGATGACCTCAGGATAAGATCTCTGAAGTCCTTAGATTAATCCATGGTTCAGATCCAATGGACTACTGCAACTATAGCAACATATTACGTGGAAAAACACTTGCTATTATTATATGAATTCGAGTACGTTCGATGCGAGTATGTAATCAAGCAAAATAGAAAGTAAAAAATTCAAAATTGTCGGGTGTCTCACAGGAATAAGATGTCGGCCATTATAGTCGTACTTAAACAAATATTAGGCCTATAAAATTTTATATTTATAAATTTATAAAAATTTTGAATGGAAGGACACGGGGAATTTTATAAAAATATTTCCAATTATTTTCCTTTTTTCTTTTTCTTTTTTTTTTTGCCAAATTATACCTAATTTTAAAGAGTTCATAAAACATGATTGATTATATAAAAAGTTGTGTTAAAAAAATAAATTACAATATATAAAATGTTAGGCGATTATCGAGCCTGTCCAATTTGCATTATGTTATCATCATCCATCAGATATATTATTTTATATGTTACACACAGTAGTATGTTGACTTTTATTATTTTGATATTCTAAAAAAAAAAAAAAAAAAAAAAAAAAAGAACTTAAATCAAACTCTAAAAAAAAAATATACTTAATCAAATGTCATTAACAAAAAATAATAATAAATTGTTGTTCTAAAGTTTAATAATATAAAATTAATATGAAAATAGATGTTTTACCTTTCAATGACATTTTATGATATTTTTATTATTAAAAAACGTTACTTAAAGTGGAATGGTTAACAAAGCATAATGATCTATAAATCATTTAATTTTGTTAGTCTAAATAGCATTTGGAATGGCTGCTACCAAATTTTGTCAATTTTCTAGAGACAGACATTAAAAACTCATTTTTTTCTGTTTAGAAAATGATCTATTTTATTATTGTATTTATCTCCATTTTTGTGGATGACTTGGAAATCAACATGGATTTAGATGTTTTAACCAAAATTTTTTTTTAAAAAAACATGGATTAGATGTTACACCAGCCAAAAACATTTTTAAAAGCCAAGAGGACCATTTTAATCTACATTGAAAATGATCAATATAGACATAAAAGTGAAGGATTTCAAAACTGCCAATGAAATGATTTAATTCTTATGTTAACTAGAAAGTCCTTTTTCCTGCATATAACTTGTTTGGTCAATATCGTGTCACAAATTTGATTTGCTATAGGATTAAAGATCATGTGGATGAAAATTAGTCAATGAATCGATTATTTATGTCATTTTATTAATTTCCCCTTTTCATAATAATTATATTCATGTTAATGCATTTAGAAAAATATTGTATCACACAATTTGTTATGTCAAGACATAATACTGCAATTGATATTTGAAGGTTCAAATGTAAAGACAATTGTATGGATGGGAACCCTTCCACTTCTCATTCGGGTAAAATTTATTTATTTATTTATTTTTATTTATTTATTTTTTACAAAGTAACTAGTATATCCAGGACATTGTGCATAATATTCTCTCTACACGGATCAAGTTAGTAAGGTTCGAAATTTCACCTCGGCTCGAGCCTTCAACTGATACTACAAGAAACACCCAACCTAAGTGACTACCACTCCAACCAACCCATTCGATTTTGGGTGACTTTTTCGATTAACTATAACCGTTATTAAAATTAAGGTACCATTTTGTGGGGTCTTTACATTAAAATTAATGCCTAACCAAAATGTTCAAACATATATAATTGTCTGAAATCTATGCTCTGCTTCCAAAACCACCATACCAAAGGCACCACTATAATTGCTTTGATTAATTTAAGCTAGGCATTGTCAAATTAATTTGCTTGTCAAATTTTGTACAATATTTAATGAGAAATTAGAGGGTAGGATGGCATTACAACCACATTTATCAAAAGCATTCCATATAACGTAAAGTTTAAGCCACTTGGTGATGTTTAATTCTTAGTTGGCTTCATTAATTTGTTGATTGATATTATGGCAACTTGCATGTCACATAATTCAAAATACCTATATTGTTCACGCATATGCAAGTGGCTCTAACTTCCAGCTTCCTACTGTGTGTGTGTGTGTGTGAGAGAGAGAGAGAGAGAGAGAGAGAGAGGTCACTGCTGCAACATTTACTTGTATATCAGGGAACATATATTTGTTCATTAATGGTTGAATGACAGATGAAGTCTCCAGAGCTCGAAACTTCGAGTTTCTCTGCTTTTTTGCATGTGGTTGTCTTTAGCCTGCTTGATCACCACAATTATTGTGCTGAATTGGATTTGTTTTCCAGACTTTTCAAGAAAAGAAAAAATAACTCAAATGGCTTCCAGTTCGTCATCCTCCGTTATTAGGGAAGTCTAAAAAGGATCATTTGTACATAATATACATCTGTATGAAGAGAAATTGTTTTCCGTTTTAAACGAGTGATCTTCAAATCATAATAGAATAATCTTGCCATTGTGAATGGACTACGTGAACCAGTTTCATTTGTGATCTGCTAAATCTCAACTAATTCTACCTCCCTTTTGCTGGAAATTAATTGCCAAACCATTGTCAATGTATAACATCTTTCAGCTAGCTTATTTAAATGTAGAAATATATATCCTTCAATGTACTAAAAATATGGAAATATTACATATATATATATATCCAATCCAACAAATATTAAAAATCATCCAGAGTCCAGACTTCTCTAGCAGGAAAATGAAGTAGATACAATGTATGTGATTATATTATTAATATTAGTATTTTTCTCTCCCTTTTTGGTTGGTAAGCTAATTACACAACCCACACTAGCTCCCATGGTTTCTAGATCTTATTAACTGTAACATGATAAACATATATCAACCAGTTTGATACCACTTCATGAAGCCCACATAATTATTACATACAATAATATATATATATATATACAAAATAACAAATTATAGGGACAACACTTTGGGCCACGTTGGTGAAGCTGTAAGAATTGACAATGCAATGACTTAATTGTGTCATTTCATCTCTTAATTGATCGAGTATGTTTTTTCTAAGATTAAACATATAAAATATGTATGAAACAATTCAAGAAAATGAACTCACGACTACCTACTGTTGACACATACGTATAGAATTACATCATACTATAAATAGTATCCCTAGGAAATACCGAAATAATGTATTCAATCTCTACATATAATAATATTACCTGAATCGCATGCGAAATGATGTCACTAGACACTGGTACGATTTCACTCACCAACTATATATTTGAATATATATATATATATATATGATGCATATCGCGTATAGTTTTTTAGTTGGTTTATCTAAGGGTTGGTAGTGTAGTAACACGGTACAAAAGCTTTCGTGAAGTTTCCTTCGCATTAGGGTTAAGTGACCTTAGATAATCTAACCAAACAAAATCTTTTGGAGATTTTTCATATATTGTGCATATTTCTAATTGATTATCAAACTACTTTTAATTCTTCTGTTGGCAGTAGTTGAAACATGTAATGGATAGATGTACAAGCTAGCTACAACTACAAATTAGACTTTTTGGTATGAAAATTTTTGTGGATTAAAGTATATTTTTCATGCAAAAAAACAATTTAATTTGTGAGCCGGCATAAGTCCGTGAACAATTGTTTTTAAGCACCCAAAAAAAAAAAAAAAAAAATGGTTTTGTGGCCAAAAGAACTAGGTTGGCCACGAAGTATCTATATATTACACCAAGAATTTATCATGATGCCGTGGCCACAAGTAAATTTTAAGCTATTTGCTTCACGAGAAAGTAGTACAAGTAAACGTACTTTAAACTATTTGCTTCACGAGAAAGTACATAAACAAATGTTACTTCCGATCAATACACGTTTATGGAAATTCGCCATTTGTCTTGACACATAAAAAAATGAGAAAGGTTCAAAAAATATAACATTAATCGGAGGTATTACGTAATAAATATTTTTAGAATATTATATATTTTCTCGTGTTTTAATGAATAATAAATTATGATATTTACATAATAATTCAAATATTGATTAATTGTCTTGCCCATCTAAATCAACCTAGATAGATTGATCATGAAATTTATGTTTCACATTTTTGAAAGGTACCATTAATGCTCTAGAGTATTATAAAGCTTTGTAAATATTTTAATATTTCTTTATTAATGTTGTTATAAAGTAGACTCCACTTTTGTTTTCTTTTAAAGCAAGGAAGCTAGGCATATGTCCCTTAAAAGTGTTCTAACAATTCACAATTGTTTGAAAATATTCCTATACTTCACTTCAGAGTTACTATATCATTTACTTTACTAAAAAATCAATTTACAAAAATGGAGAGCACGTCACATTGACTATGGAGAGCACGTCACATTGGCTGTGATTTTGTCTTTTCAATTTGGAGATCCGTTCAAGACAAAGTGTAGATTTTATACAAATAGTGATGGGTGGAATCGATCGATCAATTTGTATATTAGTCTAGCTAGCAAATATTAGAATCAATAAAACCCTAGGTTCGGTTTCTGTAATTTTTAGGAATTCACTTTCATCCTATTCAGTTATGCTGAAATTAATTGCTAGCCAATTCTGGGAGAGAATGAACCCTAACTTTTTTTTTGACTAGTAACTGTCCACCGCTGATGCCACCAGACTAAGTGAGGTGGTGGAGTGGTTGTGTGCTACACACCATCATCACTCATCTTTGCCGTCAATGGCTGGTCACCGGATTACTTAGAATATCCATTCTTGACGGCCACATGCAGTTGTTATTTAACAGCTATTCTTAAGTTAATATCACATTATTCTCACATTAGTGCCATATTGCTATGGGCCAATATTTTGAATTGGCCCTTTCTGTTGGGCTTGGGT